TGCCCACTCCCCCTTGCCCGTTCCCTTATCAGTACATCTTGTACGAGCGTTCGGCGGTGAAGCTTCAATGCTCCCGTTGCTCTCTCGATTCCTGCGTTTCCCTGAGAGATAGCACTTGCGCCTGCACGTCTACAAGCTCAGCTTCAGCTCTGTTCTCGACCTTGCCCATTCCACGTCCCCTAGTCGCGTCTCCTAGAGAAGCAAACCTGTTCTAGCTCGCTCGACGGGTAACCCATCCCGGTTCTGGCCTTGCTACGCGCCCCCGAAAAGCTGTGTTGCCAGCGAGTTCGAGGTTGACTCACTCCCAACATGTAACTCTCCTGGTTGCTGCGATGCTTCGTCCTTGTTGCTGGCAAGCTACTTAGACCGTTGGGTCGCCCGCTTTCCCAGCTTTTCCTCCCACTTCACCTGTTCAACACACTCACTCCAGCCACTCCTGTACTCTATGTCGCTCTGTTGACCCAACGCCCACACGCAATGTTGGCCCTGTCTCTCAATACTGACCTTCCCACCATGGACAGGTCTCCTAACTACGAGGATATCTCTCCCACTGAGGAAATAGGCAACATCATGGCGACCGCCGCGCCCCCTCGTAACAAGATGCTGGGTCAGGTCCAGGCCGACTCGGCAGAGAGCAGCCGTGGCCCCTCTCCCCAGCCAACACATTTCAGCGTTCCCATGGCCGCTCGCGCCAATGGCAACGGACACAGAGTTCTGCGCTCAGCGACAGTCGGCTACGTTGCGCCGACATTTGTCGGCAAGCTGGAGCAGATGGACCAAGGTAAGCTCGGCCAAACCGAAAATTGCGACCACTGAGCGATGCTGACTTGCGTGTTAGTCCGCGGACTCATCAAGACGAATGGCTGGATCCCGGAAGTGCTCGTTGACGAGCAGGTCGGATGGTTCTACGACGAGCTTGGCATCGACGACGTCTACTTCAAGATCGAGAGCCCCGAGGTCATTGCCAGCCAGATCACCTCCCTGTACGCCGCCAAGGTTGCCGCTTTCGCGCGCGAGGACAAGCGCGAGGAGATCAGGCTCGACATGGAGGCCCCTGACCACGCCATCTACATCGACACAAGCGAGCCCGGCAAGACATCAACGGCCGGCCCGCAGTACGAACAGAGACTCGAGGCCAAGTACTTGGACCATGTTGGCAAGACCAAGTTCCGCGTCGAGACTTTCCGTTCCCCCGGTGTTCTGGGCGCCTCGCCCACGTCCAAGGCCACCCTGCGCTGCTACTTCGTCTACCAGTGCCTCTTCAAGCAGAGCCCTGAGTCGACCGACCCGAATGAGACTCGCCTCGAGGTCATCGCCGACAATGGTTTCCTCCAGAAGGCGACCAACAACACCAAGCAGATTTACCAGGAGATCATCGAGCTTGCCGTCAGCAGAACCGGTCCCGTGATCGAGGTCTTCGATATTGAGGGCTCTCCCGAGAAGCGTCTCGTTATTGCCTTCCGCTCTCGCACTGCGCGCGGCCTCTTCTCTGCCCTTTCTGACCTGTACCACTACTACGGCGTCACCAGCTCCAGGAAGTATGTCGAGCAGTTCGCGAACGGTATCACGGTTATGAGTATCTACCTTCGGCCTGCTATGAACATCGAGGGCAACCTCCCTCCCCTCGACCAGTCCATCCACCAGATCACCAAGGAGATTTCTCTCCTGTACTGCTTGCCCCAGAACAAGCTGCACTCGCTCTTCACTGCCGGCGAGCTCAGTCTCCAGGAGACCGTCTACGGCCACTGCGTCTGGGTCTTTATCCAGCACTTCCTCAACCGTCTCGGTTCCGAATATGTCTCTCTTTCCGAGATTTTGGACACCAAGAACCAGGCCCACACCGCACTTCTGTCTAAGCTCAAACGCCGTCTGAGGACAGAAACATTCACTCCCGACTACATCCTCGAGATCATTCAGTCTTACCCCGGCCTGGTTCGCGTCTTGTACGCTTCTTTCGCCTCGGTGCACCTTGCCGTCGGTCCCGACTTCGACCGCCACTTCATTGCCCCCACACCTGCCATCGAGGTCCTGTCTGATGCGGCACTTAAGGAGCGCATCACTCGTGACGTCTCCAACGAGCACGAGGAGATGGTGATGACTGCCTTCCGCGTCTTCAACAATGCCATCCTCAAGACCAACTACTTCACCCCGACCAAGGTTGCCCTCAGCTTCCGTCTGGACCCCTCTTTCCTGCCCGAGATCGAGTACCCCAAGCGCCTCTACGGCATGTTCCTGGTCATTGGCGCCGAGTCTCGCGGTTTCCACCTGCGTTTCAAGGACATCTCCCGTGGTGGTATCCGCATCGTCAAGTCTCGCAGCAAGGAGGCCTACAGCATCAACGCTCGCAACTTGTTCGATGAGAACTACGGTCTTGCCAGCACTCAGCAGCGCAAGAACAAGGACATTCCCGAAGGCGGTTCCAAGGGTGTCATTCTTCTTGACCCCAAGATGCAAGACCGCGCCGAGGAGGCTTTCGAGAAGTACATCGACAGTATCCTCGACCTTCTCCTTCCGGCTTCGTCCCCTGGTATCAAGAACCCCATCGTGGACTTGTACGGCAAGGAGGAGATTCTTTTCATGGGTCCTGACGAGAACACTGCCGACCTCGTCGACTGGGCCACCCACCACGCCCGCTCTCGTGGTGCTCCCTGGTGGAAGTCCTTCTTCACCGGCAAGTCGCCCAAGCTTGGTGGTATTCCTCACGACACCTACGGCATGACTACCTTGTCTGTCCGCGAGTACGTCAAGGGCATCTACAGGAAGCTCGACCTCGACCCATCCACGGTCAAGAAGATGCAGACCGGTGGCCCTGATGGTGATTTGGGCAGCAACGAGATCCTCCTCAGCAACGAGAAGTACACTTCCATTGTTGACGGTTCCGGTGTTCTCGTTGACCCCAACGGACTCGACAAGGAGGAGCTTCTGCGCCTTGCCAAGGCTCGTGTCATGATTAACAACTTTGACATGTCCAAGCTTTCCAAGGACGGTTACCGCATTCTGTGCGACGACAGCAACATTACCCTGCCCACCGGCGAGTTCATCTCCAACGGCACAACTTTCCGCAACACCTACCACCTGCGCGACACCGGCCTGACCGACTGCTTTGTCCCTTGCGGTGGCCGTCCCGAGTCCATCGACCTGATCTCTGTCAACAAGATCATCAAGGACGGCAAGTCGACCATTCCCTACCTTGTTGAGGGTGCCAACCTCTTCATCACCCAGGACGCCAAGCTCCGCCTCGAGGCCGCTGGCTGCATCCTGTACAAGGACGCCAGTGCCAACAAGGGTGGTGTCACCTCCTCGTCTCTGGAGGTCCTCGCCTCCCTCGCCTTCGACGACGAGAACTTCCTCAAGCACATGTGCCACGACTCCAAGGGCGTCGCTCCCCAGTTCTACCAGGCCTACGTCAAGTCCGTCCAGGCCAAGATCTGCGAGAACGCCAGCCTCGAGTTCGAGGCCATCTGGCGCGAGCACGAGGAGACCGGCACCCCCCGCAGCATCCTCTCCGACAACCTCTCCAACGCCATCACCACCCTGGACGAGGAGCTCCAGCACTCCGACCTCTGGAAGAACGAGAAGATCCGCCGCTCCGTCCTCCAGGACGCCCTCCCCAACCTCCTCATCGACCAGATCGGCCTTGACACCATCATCGAACGCGTCCCCGACTCCTACCTGCGCGCCATCTTCGGCAGCTACCTCGCCTCGAGGTTTGTCTACCAGTTCGGCAGCCAGCCTAGCCAGTTTGCTTTCTACGACTTGTAAGTTTATCCTGATGATTCTTCCCCGTCAGACACCTGACTAACTCCTTCTCCCAGCATGGCCAAGCGTATGTCCAAAATCCAATAGAGGCTCCCTTTTCGGACTCTAGAATCGGCGCATTCTTTCTGTTTTTCCCTTTTTGGCATGTCACATAGGCACATTGGATTCAAGAGGGGGGTTTTTGTTTCAATGGTTGGCATACACGCATGGGCGGTGCGAGAAGAAAAAAAAATACACAAAGCATGGGAAGAGAAAAAGGCCAAAAGGGGGCCTATTGTCGTCCAAATACGGACGAACCTGCATAGTAATTGGAGTTAATGGGGGGTATGATTGAAAGTCATGACTACTAGCCTGGTCACAAGAGATGGCCGAGGTACTTTTACCAATATCAGTATTCTTTTACCTAGTACACTCCCAGGCCGAAAGTGACATGATTTGTCTTTGTCGAGTCTGAATCAGACCAGCTCGGCGACCTCACGACGCCTTTGACCAGACTCGAGTGGACACGATCCCTTCTGAGTATCTTCCTCCAAGATGACCCGAGTAGATGCCCCAAATGACAGTCGGTTTGACATTCGGTTTGCTTCAAGGAGCGACCCTTTCAGAATCTTCACGATAAGCTCAAACTGATTGACTTGAATACATAGTTTGAATTCAAGTCAAGTCGTCATCACTTGCCTCTCATCCATCGGATCGGAGACTGCATACGGGAATCATGCCAAAGGTCGTAAAACGTTCAATCTTTTTGTGTAAACCGACAATTCTACCACCTGTATAGTATTGCCCGCGCCCCAATCTAGTACCCGACCAGCCAGCCAGCCTCCATGCTACTCATGCAATACATCCCCCCGTCTCCAGTTCTAAGTCTAACAGGTGCGAGAAAAGAGATGTAGTTCAAACAAAAAGCCAGGCTTCTAACCCCACGCCCCTCCTGCTCGACCCAGATGATCGGGTCGAATCGCTAGCGCATGTATGTGTGTGTATCCATCCCTCCTCGGTCCGTTCCGAAAAGAAGAGAGAGAAGGGCAGACGAGGACGAAAATGGTTCGTTGATCCGAAGGAGGGAGGGGGGGTTGATAGATTAGATTAGATCGAGGTCAGGTGGGCGGGCGTGGGGGTCTCTTCTTTCCCCCACGATTAAGCAGGCCAGGGGGTGTTTTCTGTCCGAAGCACACTCCCACGCGGCCGCATGCGAGGAGGCCGAACGAACCAGGTCGCAATGTGGGAAAATCAATGAGGTATTAGTGAGTCTTGGCCCATTCGCGGAACCATTCCAGGGCCTCGGGGTTGGCGACGGAGGCGTTCGTCTTGACGTCCATGCCGGAGAGGATCTGTTTGACGGCAACCTCGATCCTTTTTTTGGCGCGGGTGTGTTAGTAGAAGCAAATTAGATGCTGACAGATCAAGAAGGGAACTCACTTCTTTCCGTTGCCCGTCTTGGGGATCCCGCCGCCGCACTCCTCCACCACACCGGGCACGTGCCTGGGACTCAGCTCGCGGCGGATGACGCTCTTGATGCTGGCCCTCAGGTCGTCGTCGAACTTGCGCCCCTCCGCGGGGACGACGAAGAGGCAGACGGTCTCGTCCGAGTCGGTGATCCTGCGTCTGCCAACGCAGACGGCGTCCTCGACCTCGGCGGGGAAGAAGCGGGTGAGGATGTTGTAGATCTCGGCGGAGCCGAAGCGGACGCCGGCGGGCTTCAGGACGCCGTCGGAGCGGCCGAGCATGACGAGGGAGCCGGTGGCCGGGTTGGGGATCTTGACGAAGTCGCCGTGGTGCCAGACGGGGCCGGAGACGCCGCAGATGTCGGCGAAGCGTTCGAAGTAGGCCGACTTGTACTTTGCGTCGCCGCCGGGGCCGAAGAAGGTCAGGGGCTGGCAGGGGAAGGGGCGGACGCAGACGAGGTCGCCTGGGTGGGTTGCGTCTGGGAGGGGGCCGCCGGAGATGGAGTCGACTGCGCGGATGGCCATTCCTGGGGTTCGTGTTAGAAAGGTTGGTTCATGTGTTGGAGTGGTTTTACTCACCTAGACCCGCGCACTGGATCTCGCCGACGCGGACGGGGAGGAGGGGACAGGGGGCGCCGAAGAGGGAGATGATGTCCGTGCCGCCTGTGATGGAAGCGAGGTTGATTTTGGAGGGGAAGGCTTTGTAGACGAAGGAGAAGGTGGACGGAGGTAGCGGCGAGGCGGTGGAGTAGATGGCCTCAAGGGCGGAGAGGTCGATGCCCTCGTTTACGGGGTACACCTGGGCGGCCTCGAGGGCGGTGAGGTAGGCCGCGGAGGTGCCGAAGTGGGTTACGCGGAGGGAGGAGAGAAGGCGCGGGAGAGAGAGGTGGCCGGCGGGTTTGAAGGGGGAGCCGGAGTAGAGCACCAGGGTCGCGCCGACGGCGAGGGCGGAGACGGACCAGTGCCACATCATCCAGGAGGTGGTTGTGTAGTAGAGCATGCGGGAAGACGAGGTGATGGAGCCTTGGAGGGCGTGTTCTTTCTTGTGTTGGATCAGAGTGCCGAGAGCGGTGTGAACGATTGCCTTGGGAAGACCTGTCGTGCCGGAGGAGTAGAGGATGTAGAGAGGGTGAGAGGGAGGAAGCTGCTCGAAGTGGAGAGGGACGTCAGGGGCGCTGGCGAGGAAGGAAGTGTATTCCTCTGCAGTCACGCCTGGAATCTGGAGGCCTTCCATGCCGAGGTCACACGCTACGTTGTTGATCACGATGACATGCTGGAGGCCGGTGGCGGCAAGGGCTTTGACAATTTCTTCCGTCTTGTCGGTGCTGCTCCATTCCTTGCCGTTGTATACGGTTCCATTGTCGGCGAACAAGACCTTTGGAGAGATTTGAGCGAGACGGTCGAGGACGGCGCTCACACCGTTGTCGGGGCTGATGCCAGTCCACACCGCGCCGATGGCGGCGGCCGAGAGGGAGGCGACGAGGGCCTGGTGGTGGTTGGAGACGAAGCCGGCGACGATGTCGTTGGGGCCGAGACCGCGGAGGCGGAGGGCGGCGGAGCAGCGGCGGACGGCCTCGCGGAGCTCGGCCCAGGATGTGGAGACGGAGGTGCCGAGTTCGGTGGTTGTGATTGTTGCGGCGGCGGTGGGGTCGACGGTGACGTTGGCGGGGAAGAGGAGGTTCTCGGCGAAGTTGAGACGGGAGCCGGCAAAGAAGTCTGGCCGGGGGTACATGGGGGCATCAGGCGGGAGGACCTGTTGGGTTCGGGATCAGCTTGCGGTCTGTGAGAGTATAAAGGCAATGGCATGGAGGGCATGGGATTCGGGCATTTCCCATGAAGGTGAAGAGTTGAGAATCTCATCCTCGGAAGAGCAAAGGCATGACTCGGTGGTGGAGGGATGTTGGTCATGCAAAGGAAGAGCCTTGGCCACTAAGCCATCCGGTTTGTGAGGCGACGGCAGTATCAAGGTTTCTTGATGGGTGGACAATTCCTGGCGAGGGTTCAAGACAAGACACTGGTGAGGGTTTGGCATCGACGATTTGGGTGCCTTTCATCTCGTTGGTTCCCGTTGGCACTTGCGCGGGCATGGGTGGGTGTAGAGTTTGGCATTCGAGCCTCTCGGACTGATGTCACACACGTTGATCTTGTCCCATTGATGTCTTCGTCGTTTACGAATCGTCAAGGCGGGCCAAGCAGAGCAGAGCAATGAGCAGACGGGGGCTGAGGTTGAGTTTTGGAAAGACGGATGTGTGTGATGTCTGATACGGAGTGGATGGTCCGGTGCGGTGAGGTGAGGAGGGCGTTACCTGGTCGAACGGCTTGGATGCGGTGATGCCCACAAAGTGCCAGACCTCCTCCCAGAACTCGGCGACGTTCTCGATGGACCACTTGTAGAGACCGGGGTAGTCGTTCAGTTCGAGACCGTACTTGGAGTTGACCTTGAGCAGAAACGCCCACATGGGTGTCGAGGTGGGGGCCGGGTGCCGCCAGAGCTCGTTGCGTGTGACACTGGTGATGGTCATGATTGGCGGTCTTGACGCAGGAAAGGATATGGGACGATGTTGAACGAGTTGATTGAGTTGGTTGGACGTGCTCCAAGTCGTAGCTTGAGCTGGTATCACGATGTTCGTTGAAGAAGGAACAAAAAAAAGTGGGAAAAAAGAAAGGCTCCCGTCGAGTGTCGAAGGCAATTGCGATTCCGGAGGTGGAGGGAGAGTGAGAGAAGGACGGGAGAGAATGGAAATTGTGCCGTCGCAATCCGATGTTTGTCAGATTCCGAGGGGACGATTCCGAAGGGGGAAAAAAAGGGTTGAGGACGCTACCCCAAAGCACCCAGAACCGGAGTCCGGGGGTGGGGGGAAATCTGTGTGCTTGTGCTTGCGCTTGTCCCGCATGCCTTTCCTTAACAAAGACATGGACAGAGAGATAGATAAAGAGATAGAGGCGCGGAGGACTAGCCTGTTCAGCTGATTGGAATGCCGTTTCGCATTGGAGCTCGGTCGGTGGCTTCTGCCATGGCTGTCTGCCTCCTCTGTCCCTCGAGATTCTGGGGATTCCATTCCGCCATCAACTTCGAGGGGCCGTCATGAACCGCGCTCTGTGTTCTGTGTCTCTGGTACCTGCATTTCGGGTGTTAGTGCTATCTTAGGTAAGACACGAACGAGACACTTCCAACAAATTTCCTCTGATCCATGATTGACCATGCGCTACTGCGTGAGGTAGTCTAGCTTGACAAGCAGGAACACGAGAGACATGCAAGGCACACCTTACCTGGACGCTCTGGAGAACAACACAACACATAGTCCGTATTCACATTCAAGTGAGGCGTTCATGGCATTAGAGAACCGGGGGCCAAAGCCTCGCCCATTCCGCCCTGTGGCTAGTGCACCTCAAGGCATTGTATGGCGCTTCTCGATGCGTCTTACTGGGACCGATGCCGATAGCTGCGATTGTACTGATCGATAACGGCGCCAAAGCGGAGCTGTACAACGTCTCAGGATGGGACGCTCTGCTGGGGAGAAGCCTGTAAGAGAGCGCTCCTGGTGCGGTGACAGCTCACACACCCACAGCTTGACGAGGTAAACACACGCAGCGCAGCAAACTGCGTTTGTTGGAATTGGCTGCCCCGAAGATTCCGGGTATCATGATCTCAGGTGGGGGCAAAAATGCGATTCGGGCATCGACGACAATCGAGATTCGAGATTTTGTGATTGGAGCCGAGGCGGTAGGTAATCTCATGTGCTGGTGCTGTGTTGTAGACGACCGAATGAGAGGGTTGTGAGAGAAGGAAACAACACTGCAGATAATACCGCAGAAGAAATTCCTCGTGTCAGCAAGTCTTCGGCCTGTGCGACGTTGACGGTCAACAACGTGTGGCTTGCAGGAAACCAACCGTCGATTTGAAGCCATGCGATGTTGAGACATTTTCTGAGCCCCGGTTCGTTCGACAATTCATCAGGTGACGATCCGAGCGGTGCTCTTGACCGTCGTTACTTTTTTCTTGCTTTCTCCGCGTCTTAAGGTATTCTCGTCGACAAGTGAGTGTGCCCCAATGTATCTCGGTACCTGCGCACAAACACCATAGACGATCCTCGATTCGATGTCGAACTGTGGATTGCAGCTCGCGCGTCGTTCATTAGACGTACTGGGATCAACTCTGCTGCGTCTTGGTCGGTGAGGCGTAGCGAGGCAGGGAAGACGATGAATCCCTATGGCCTCTGAGGAGGGCGAGGGCATTGGGTTGGGCGGAAATGGATTAGCAGCCGCATTGCGAGAAGGATATTGCCGCCGAGAAGACACGTCGAATGTGTTGTTTTTGGTAATATGTCACGGATCTTCTTCAGCGAGGCCGTCCGATACAGAGTGAGGCCATCGGACGGCGAGTTGATGGAAGAGAAGGCGGCTGGCGGCAACGGCGAGCAAGGAGGTTCCATGATGGGTTGCAATGCCGGCCAAGCAAGGCTGGTCAACGTGTCGAGTCGCAAGCATGGATATCGCGGGTTGAAGTTTGAACATTGCGGGCCGTCGAGGCTGCAGAAGATGAACGCCAATGGACGGAGTCTTGTGAGTGGTCTGACTGTTGGTTGGTCGGACTAGTTGCAGCTCCTAGCTCAGGTTGTTCCCGTTATGCACACCATGGGCTAGCTGGTGGGCGAGGCTGCATTAGAGCATGTAAGATGACTGTTGCTTTGCATTTGCAGATGCGCGCCAGTACCGCTGGAGTTGGTCATGGCCATGTGCTGCTCTTGCCAGCACTTCCGGAAGAGAGCGACTGACTAGCGTTCTTGATGCTCATGGTTAGGCGAGTCGGGGTCGTTGATGACTTGCAAGTGAGGTAATTGTCCGCGCCCGAAGTCCGTCATGACTTGAACTTGGCAAGGTATTCGGTCGGTCGGTCAGTCAGCAAACAACGGTGCATCCGCGGGGGCCGTCTCGGCCGGGTCGTCCGGACAAGCCGCGAGTGTCGCTGGTTGGCGTATTGGCGTCGTCTTTCCCCCCTATTTCGGCGCGTGAGCTGCCGAGAGAGGAAACGCGCCGGGGACAGACGGGATTTGCGCGACAGCCGAGATCACATCTGCTGGGTCGGACAGTCGGGGTGGATCAGGAACGGGCAGAGCAGGAGGCCAAGTACTTGGAGTTGAGAACGAGAGTGAGCTGAGGTCGAAAGGATGCAGCAAGGATTAGGACGGTTTGCATAAGATCCACAGAGGGTCCTGGATATTGGGCGAGAACGTGAGCCGACCACGACAGACGTGGATTTCAGAACAACCAACTGTTCTCTGGAATTGTGCAAGGGGAAGAAACAGAGTTGGCAAGATTTGCTTGATGGACGGGATACAATGGTACACTAAGGTAGAGGCAAATTTGAGAGGAGGAAGGAAGCGACAGGCAGGCACGGCAGGGTCAGTCCGTGCAAGAACAAGCAGCGGCCAACCCGGACGTCTCGGGAGGCCAGGGGCATACCTTTCGGTGTCTGTTGTCTTGTGCTTGCCATGTTTGAGGCGATCCTCCAGAGATTGAAAGTGAAAGGAATTGACGCGCTAAAAAGGTGCACTTGATGAAGTTGGAACGGCATTAATCATCACTTGACCGGATGGCGAGAAGTACCTTTTTGGCGCAAACTCCACACAAAAGGTACTTTGCATCACGACCTCAGCAGCGCGCGGTAATTTTTCTTCGTGGATCTTTCGTCGGTACTCTGCGTAGGTATTTCAATTTTCTTCTTTTCCTCTCGTCAATATTCGTCTTAACTCCCGGCCCTTCCCTCTTCTTTTCGTCTTTTTCTACATGAGCATCTTCCACCTCTTCCTCTCTCCCGTCTTCGACCCCTCCTTCAGCGAATCCCCTCCTCGCCTCGAAGAGAGCCCGACTTCCAACTAGGAAGAAACTCATCATCTTACTCGGAACGGATAACACTGATTTATATTCTTTGTTTCCTATCAAACATACAAAGGAACGACAAGGTATTGAGTGACGTAGGACTTACCTCTGCTTGCTCTACCTCCCGAACCCCCCGGAGAATCATCCCAGCCAATCACAGGACGCACTTCAAGGAGAATAAAGCGAAAAAGCTCAGGTACGAGCCTGGACCGTCCGTCACCTCAAGCTCAATCCGCGTACTTGGGTACCTCGACACCCACTTCTCGCCTTTGGGTTACCTCTTGATCCAATCTGCCGCTCATCTTCCTTCTCTCGGGCAAAAAAGAGGGATTTGAAAAAAAAGACTGGGCTCACCTCACAGCGCGCCCACCCGTACCAATTTTAAAATCACGGCCCAATCCCATCGCGCGACCAACCGAAATCGTCAATCCTTTTTTTTTCTCACTTGCCCCTGGCAGTCCAGTGCTACGAAGGAGAGAAAAAAAAATAAAAAAAACAAAATTGCAAAGGGAAAGAGCCGCCACCCTCTTTCTCCTTTCCCGTCATCCCGTCCCGACCGGATCTTCACCTTAGATCTACCACACCGGCCCCAGGCACCACCTCATCCTCTCTTTCTCTTTCGACACTCACATTGGACCTTGGACCCTACACGTACAACAGCCGTTCTGAGCCACTGCAGAGCCACCCTCGACTCCTTCTGCGGTCTGCACGACTTCCTGTCATTTCAGCAGCTTCTCGACCTTTAATCCCGACAGCTCGCATACCTCCAATTGCAACTGTCCAAGCTAGCTGTTTGCGAAAGACATCGTCATCTTTGCAGCCGCCTCTGCAGCCGACCTACACCACCTCCATCGCTCTCTCTATCCGTCTCTCTCGCTCTCCAGCCTTCCCGAGAAGCAGCAGCAGCAGCAGCAATAGCAATTGCTTACAACTCCAGTCCTTGTGAGTATTGCCCGTTATTTCTCGTCACCATCGTCGCAAACCAACCCAATTCGTCCGCCCGGCACCTCAATAGCTTCTGTGGCACGTCAACCGTCCATTTTAGCGCTTCCTTTGCGTTGTTGTTTGTGCTTCCATCAATTCCCTCGGCTGGCTTGCTGCACTTGCGGCAATCGTTGAGTTGTGCTGGCGAGGCGAGGCGAGCCTTGGCCTGAACTCCCCCAGCCCAGCCGGGGCTATCTGCTATCTGCTACCTGCTACCTGCCACCCACTACCAACGCCTATCGGCTGGCTTGTTAGTGGTCGCCTGCTCCGCGACCGCGTGTGCGCCACTGACACCCTCTGACCGACAATTCCCTTTTCCCCAAACCTCCATCTTCTGTGCCTCTTCCAGCTCTTCCGGCCTTCCAATCCAACAAGACAACCTTTGCTGACCAAACCCCTCTTCTTTTCTTCTAGCATATCAATTCCACCCTCATCATAGAGTTGCATCGTCTGCCCTCTCGCCTACCAATTCGCCATCAGCGCCTGGTCCTCTAGACCTCGATCCCCCCCCTTTTCGCGAATCCAAGCACTCGTCCCACAGACTGCCAAAGCGTATCTCAGCAATGCCCCGGAGAATTGCGAATCCCTTCTCGACCTCCTCTTCTCCCGCAATGCCGCAAACCGAGAAGGAAAGGAGACCTTCTCGTTCCGGCAACCGCATCACCAACTTCTTCACCTCTCCCAAGGGCCTCAAGGACAAGGACCACCAGACTGCCCAGCAAGCCCTTTTGGCCATGCAGCAGCAAAACATCTCGTCCACCCAAATCACTCCCTCGACAATCTCTCTGCCGACGATTTCCCTCTCCACCGCTACCGCCGGCGAACCCGACACCACCGAGCCCCCGACGACTCTCTTCTCACCTCCATCTGCGGTCGAGACGGAAAAGAAGCGACGCTTCGATGCTCAATTCGGTCCTCTCCTGCATCCTACCCACCGCTACGTGAGCAAGTCCAACGATGGCAAGCCCCTCGACCCTCCCATCATTGACGAGCCGCCCTACTACTACATCCTCACCACCTACATCAGCTACCTGCTGCTCATTCTCTTCGGCCATGCCCGCGACTTCTTCGGCAAGCGATTTGGCGACAAGAAGCACTACCAGGCTCTCAAGCCCCAAAATGGCTATGCGCCCTTGAACGAGGATTTTGACAACTTCTACGTCCGCCGCCTCAAGATGCGCATTGACGACTGCTTCGCCCGACCCATCACCGGCGTTCCCGGCCGGTACATTACGCTGATGGATCGTGAGTCCAGCGACTACAACCGAACCTACAACTACACCGGAACCCACACCGAGACCCTGAATATGAGCTCCTACAACTACCTTGGTTTCGCCCAATCCGAAGGCCCTTGCGCCGACGCCGTCGAGGAATGTGTCAAGAAGTACGCCCTCAGCACCTGCAGTCCTCGTGCTGATGTCGGTACTTCCGACTTGGCTCTCGAGGTCGAAAAGGAAATCGCCAGCTTCGTCGGCAAGCCCGCCTCCATGGTCTTCTCCATGGGCTTCGTCACCAACGCCAGCTCTTTCCCTGCTCTCGTCTCCAAGGGTTGCCTCATTCTCTCCGATGAACTGAACCACGCCTCCATCAGAGTTGGTGCTCGTCTTTCCGGCGCTGTCATTTCCTCCTTCAAGCACAACGACATGATTGATCTCGAGCGCAAGCTTCGCGAGGCCATTTCTCAAGGACAACCCCGCACTCACCGCCCCTGGAAGAAGATTTTGGTCGCCGTCGAGGGTCTGTACTCCATGGAGGGAACCATGTGCGATTTGCCCGGTATCATGGCTTTGAAGGACAAGTACAAGTTCTACCTCTTCATCGACGAGGCCCACAGCATTGGCGCCATTGGCCCCCGCGGTCGCGGTGTGTGTGACTACTTCGGCATCGACCCCAACCGTGTCGATGTTCTCATGGGTACTCTGACCAAGTCTTTCGGTGCTAACGGCGGTTATGTCGCTGCTGAGAAGTCCATTATCGACAAGTTGAGGAGCAGCAACGCCGCTACCATTTACGGCGAATCCCCCGCTCCTTCCGTCCTGATGCAGATTCTGGCTTCCCTCCGACTCATCACCGGCGAGCTCTGCCCCGGCCAGGGTGCGGAACGTCTTGAGCGCATTGCCTTCAACTCCCGCTACCTCCGCCTTGGTCTCAAGCGTCTTGGTTTCATTGTCTACGGTCACGACGATTCTCCCATCATCCCCGTCATGCTTTACAACCCCGGAAAGATGCCCGCCTTCAGCCACGCGATGCTTAAGCGCAAGATCTCTGTCGTTATTGTCGGCTATCCCGCTACCCCGCTCATCAGCTCTCGCGCTCGTTTCTGTGTCTCGTCGGCTCACAACAAGGAGGATCTGGACAGACTTCTCCAGGCTTGCGACGAAATTGCCGACCAGCTTCAGATCAGATTCTCCACTGGTGTTGCCGGTGGCGCCGAGCCTCTCCCCGAGGGTGTTACCCCTGAGACGGAGCAGGAGTGGCGCAAGGCCAACGGACTGGAGGGTGTCTACAAGCCTCCCCGCTGGAAGCTCGAGGATGTCATTGCCCGTGGTGTCCAAGACTGCAAGACCCGCCTGCGGTAAAGCATTTCACTTTTTTCGAAAGCATTTGGCGATGACAAACTTTTTACGATCGCTTTGACTGCATGGTCAGCCACGAGGTGCGGATTGGACGGGAAAATGAAGCAACGTCCCTGACAGGAAAGAGAGGGAGTTTGGTGCACTTTATTCGCTTCTGTTGGCATCGACTTGTTTGCATGATACCTATGATATCAAGTGCCGGGTGTCCCTTATACCTTTACTGGGGTGCCTGCATGGCCACGGCGTTATGGGAGTGATGATAGGAATAGCGAATGGATTCAGGTGCCGCGGTACCTCATCAATATATAACTAGTAGTAGTAGGCTCTTCCGGGCTGAGAAATATAGACACCTAAGGTACCTTAGAGTAATGTACACACAATTCTTGGATAATCCTCCATCTACCTCTCCGTCGTGCTTTGATATCTCACCGGGTGCACCTCCTATTGTCCTAGACCGAACGACATGCTTGTTATATTCATTGCTGTCGTCGTTGTTACCCACGTAGCTGTCTCCGGCAGTTGTCTCCGTAGGTAGGTGTATTCGGGACTGTATTCATCGTATATGCTGACCTATTCCTCGGTCACCTCTAGTCGTTAACTAGAGTGGCAGCAATGGAGGACCCTTAGGCTCCTCCACTTGGGTTGGTGAAGAAGGTGAGGAGAAGTGACTGCTCCTTCCTCCGCTCCTGCCCTCATCGCTCCTGCCTCAAGAAAACACAGCTCTTTCCTCTTTTTCATGGCGAAGTACGTACCGCCCCTCAAGACGACCGCTGAAAATCCCATCCTGTTCGTCTCCACGTCAACAGGACTCGTCTTTGTTTTTATTTACCCCCACCCTCTTCGCGCTCGTCATCTCGTGGTGTTCACTCTGGTGTTCGTCCACCGTTGGCCTTCTATCCCACCCATCATTACCAGTCCCCCTCACACAACAAATATATCTCATACCCCTTCGTGTCTGCATGGAGAATCGGGTATCTTGATCTCGCATTACTCCTAGAATTTTTGGTCTGCTGTTGGGTTGTGTTTTTGCTCCATCATCACCACTTCCACCAGCATTTTCACCACACCGTGTTTCGGCACGACCTCCCACCACCAAAACACCAAAAAATCCAGGATCTCGCAGTGACTCGGCGTGCCTGCGAGATTGCTCCCTATGGCGGACAGTAACTTCCGGCACGGCCAGGCGGCCGTTCGGCCATCGCATCGTCGCAGACCTAACCGCCCTCCCGTCCAGCAGCCACCCCGACACCGGCAGGAAGAGACCTCGCTGCCGCCCCTTCGACCGTCATTCTTGAATCACCAGCATACTCGCACGTCGGCTTACTTCGAGGTAGCAGATGAAGAGGACAGATACTACACGCACACCCATGCCAGCAGCTCCCAGCAGGATCTCCAGCTACGAGTTGACGGGCTTTCGCTTTCCTCCCAAGTACCTCGAGCATTGCCGTCGCCGTCCCTAGGTTGGGATCACCGCTTCATCTCGTCTGCCGCGGCGGCCCTACCCGAACGTCGAGGCGACCCGCGTCGCCCTTCTACCAAGCGACAAGATAGCAACGGCCCAGCTATCAAGGGCACTGAGTCTTACCCTGACGGTGACGAAGAGGAAAGCCTTTTTGTCAGCCAGGACCGTTCAAGTCATCTGAACCGGTACGAAAATCACAGACTGCGGCACAAGACGAAAAGCCACGCGCTGAAAGACTCGCTGCATATGGAGAGAGATCCGTTCAGCTCTTCTGAAGACGGCAAAACCCATGGCACGAAGCATCTGAAGACTCTAAAAGGAGGAACTTCCTGTGGTTTCCTTCTTGAAGACAACGACTCGGACTTGCTCTCATCGAAGTCCAATAGAACGGGACATCGGCACAAAGACTTCTCAACCCGAGTCACCTCTTCTCATCATCAGTCTGCGAAGTCAACGTTCCCACTCCCTTGTCAAGAATCGCCTCCCGTAGACGCCAACGTCAATTCCAATTCCAACGCCAACGCATCCCGCCAGCGAGCCGAGACCACCAAACCAGCCTCGTCAAGTAAAGCGACACGGAAGAACGGCAGTCAGTCACGCATCGATTCATCTGACCGACGTGCAACATTGCTGAATACTCAGTCGGCGCGGGACGACATGAGCCAAGCAGGCCGCAAACAACACGGAAGGCAAGAAACGAAGGCCGCAACGCAGCATGTTCCAGCATCCAAGTCTACTGGAGCTCAGAAGAACCAAGCCAGTACAGGAGATTCTCACGCTACAGGTGGCTCAAGTATGTCAGCTAGAATGGTTATAAGAGCTCCCAAGGCAAACGTCCGAGTTATGAAATCGACAAAGCAGGGTCCGGAAATGCGTCAAGATGCAATCGCTTCAAAGGCCTAGAGAGCCTCGCCCAAGGACACCACATCGACGAAAGCACAAGACTCGACCTTGCAGCAAAGGGAGGACTTCCACTCAGCGAAGCCACACAAATGTTCGACTTCAAAATCAGATGCTTCTCGCCGTACTTCTCCGAACTCAGTCGTCGCGAACGAAAGAAAAAGCGGCGGCATGGGAACGACGACAAGCCAGACAGCAACGAAATCATCAGCCATCACGAAGATGTTCCATCTATCGTCTTCAAATGTCAGACAGGGAACTTCTGGCAAAAGAATCAAGGCAAAGGCGCTGAATGCGCACGTACTAGACTCCGGCGCGGTGGGCTTGAAGTCCATCACTTCCTACCCAGGTCCTCTGGAGAAAACCGGTGCGCCGTTGCCTGTATTCAAGGGTACGAATCAGTCAACCACGCCCATCTTGGGCAGACGTCGAAGCAGCACGTTGCCGAACCCAAGCATTGAGACAACTCCCTTCTATGATGGCGCAGAAGCTCGAGGTATGGCACATTTGGCTTTCTATCAGGGTTTTGGACTAACAACATGTCTTCAGAAACTTGCGTGGATCTCTGTCCTTCAGCTTCGGGTCGCCAACCAAACAGGGACACCAACAGGAGCGCAGAATCGGTTGCCGTCTCTGGGGCCTTGTCTGAAGGCGATGAACCTAGTGACCGCCGGTCGCAAGCATCGTCCGTTCGACAGCTCAGTGAGTTCCGAACGCCGAAAAGAAAAGGAAAAGCACACATGCATCTTGGCGCCCTACAGGTCGGAGGCGAACGAGATATCGTGCAAGAATTTCGATCACCCGGCGGCTGGGTTTCGGCTCGCAAGCGACCTGCCGAGCGTGTTCTCAGCCCTGTGTCATATCACCAGGGGCCTGAGAGAAAACGTTCAGTCAAAAGACACGTACCCAAAGAGCAGGACCACGACGAGCCGCAGATCACCGAGCAGCGAGATCCAGATGTATCTCATGATCCCCGTGGTCAAGAAAGCGACCTGAGAAGCTACGCCTCAAACACGTCAGACCATGTCAAGACTCATCACAGGCCCATGGGACCCATCGAGAAGAGGAGAAAGATAGGACTGGCTCAGCTGGAGAATCAACGGGAGGTGAAGAAAGAGAGACGCTCGGAAGAGTACGAGCACTGAGTCGGCTGCAAGTCCTCGACGACGAGAATTCGACGACTTGGCAGGCGGGAGAGTGCTTCAGCACAACCAGTTTCCAACGCGCTGCCTGCAACGACTGGCTTGTTTTGGTTGAATCAAATCCCGGACGGGAGAAGGGAGTTGTCAGAGTTGAATGAAGAGTCAGTTTGGATGTGTAGGAATTTGTAGGATTAGAGGGAGACCCTCGAATTGTTTACGAATATCACTCGTCGAAGTGGCGATTGGAAGAGTCGACGGAAGGCGGAAGAGGAATTGGCTTATCACTGTAGGTATACTGGCCGAGGCCTGACTGTTGCAAGCAGTGCACTCTTTGAATGCAGGATTCATAGCAAGATATTCGATAGCAGGAAATTCTTCCACTCAACCTTTTGACACGGGAACATGTGCCACGCTAGATACGCAGCCTCTTCGAACATCTTGACGGCCAAATCGCGCCAGATTCTGCCACGAAGGTTCATTTTAAAGCTTGCGCTCGACGCAGCAGAAGGACTGTAGACGAGGAAGACGGCGTTGAAATCAGAGTAAATGAAGCTTGAGACAATCGTGAGCAAGTGTCGGAGGGGCGAAAGAAGGTGTACGGTTGGACGAGACAGAGAATTTTTGCCTGCACCCACGTGGGATTGGGGGGTAATTCAAAGCGGATGTGAGGTTTAATTTGTTGACGGCGACGATGATCATCAGGATGAACAGCAAGTAGGCAAGCTGGCCCAGTTCACAGAGATACTAACTACGATCTCTCGCTACACTATATCACTACGTTACCGCGGATCGAGGATGACTTTCGACGTCCAAGACTTGTCCGCTTGGACAAATTCGATGATGGCTGAGTAGCGTTTTCGGAGAGGTCGATAGCCGGTCCGACAGTCAGAGAACGCACGGGAACGACTCCGAACGCCAACCAGACCTGACTACGATCATTCCCGCCCCCCAGAAAGAGCTCCCCCGCACTCGCGATTGATTGGACGTGAGAAAAAAAAAGCCATCCCCCCCCTCGCGTCGATCTTGAGTCCAGGCACAGAGCGTCCGAGCACGAGGACGACCAGCTGTCAAGCGCAGAGATCCGCGTGGCGGATGGGACTGGACGGCACAGCCGGGAATCTGTTCGCGGGCTCTAGAACGTGAAAGACCTGCAAGTGCCAAGAGGTCATTTGGAGGTCGACCCAAAGAGGCCCCGCGAAGCGCGAGGTGCTGTGCAATCGCATCGTTAGTCAAACCAGCACGAAGAAGCGCTCAGCGACAGATTTGTGTCGCGAGGTGTAATGAAACTGGAGAGAGTCCTGGGAGCTCGGATGAGGATGATCAGTTTGGAGAGGATCGTCCAGATTTGGGTTCGCCAGAGTTGCGATGCTTTCCGAAAGGGCGATGGTTTATGAGACTTTTGAGTTTTGCCTCTTCATTGTCCCAGAACTGGCAACTTCCAGCGTCTGGTTCCCGTGAAGCCCTTGAGGACAAACTTGGGGAGGAGGCATCGGATTTTTGATGAGGACCGGCAAAGTGACTGGTATCTCACGGTTCTCTCGTTCCTTCCTAGCTATAAACCCAGGCGCGGGCCCTCGGGCACTCTGGCATTTTTGCGAGGTGAGAAGACCATTCAGGGGGTGAAGAAGAAAGGGGATAAGCATTCTCGGCCGAGCGAGCTGCAGTTTGGACCTAATGTAAGTCTGGCGTGCAGACGTGAGAAAGCGTCAGATCGGAGTGGCTCTAGCGCGGAACTTAATCTGAGTATCGAGGATGCTTGGATGCTTCTGCGCAAGTGATGGGGAAGACAAAGGAGACAGACATGGCCGTGATGAGACCTTGCCTCTTTTAGGCCAGGCGGCGAGCATCAATCTAGATCGGCCGGGAGACGGCGTAATGGTCGTGGGGAGGGTGGCTGGTACTGTGAGGAGGGAGTGTTTTGGCCCAGCGGGAGCATATGAAAAGACGCCAGTGATGGCTTGGACGCTACATGGAAATGATGATGCGATTTCGGGAGGACAGAATGGCCCGCAAGTGATGTCTCGGAGACAATTCCGGGTTGATACATGTGCTATGCTTTGTGCGAGCGGGACGAATTGTTGATGATTAGGTGCACGGGGGCCAAGGCTTCAGATGAACGATGGATTTGGTGGTTTGAACGCGAATTTTCCTTTCTCGTCTGGAAATCAAGATGAGACAGGTAAGGTTGCGTTTCGTATCGAGGTCCCTGGTAGGAATTGAGATGTTGTGAGACGTCGTGCGATAACCCAGGAGAACGTAGCATGCGCCGAGTGAATGGTACCATGGAGGCTGGAGACGGGAGACCGCCTCGAACGTGACTGACGCCCTGAAAGATTTCGAGAATACGAGATGGTCCAATGAATTGCGTTCCTCGCCGGTTTTGTCACGTCCCGAGCGATTTAGCGATACGCAGAAGGCTATGGACGGGATGATGGGCTCAAATCTTCGTTTGGCTCCCCTGACAATAGTTGGACAGACTCTCTGCAGGCGCGGCTGCCGGCGCGCAAAGCTCTGCCATGCTGCTGGTTCGTTTGACGAGCCAACCGAGGAACGGTTTAGCCATGGCGGCGCGGGAGACGTTTGTGACGCGCGAACTTGGACATTTTGGGAACGTCCCATCCGGATGGGTCGGCATGAAACTGAAACCCAGACGACGAGCGGGAACGATATTTGGGAGGCTGTTTGATGTTCCTCCTGATGCCTCTGGCTGCGCTGTGAGCTGACCTGATTTCTTTGCCAGATGCGATGAGTTAGGATTCACGGGAAGTATTCACACAATGTCTGCCGTCTCAACCGAGGGAGGAGGCTTAGCCCGAGAAAATTGACCAGACCAGACGAGGACACAACAGCGTGGCTGTGCCGCAGCAAAAGAAGTTGCGATGAACAACAACCTTGGGCAAGTAGAGTAGAGACGATTGCAGTTGAGCGGACGGCCGGCTGACGCCGATGGAGGAGATGAACAGAAGCCGAGGATGATCGACGCAGGGTCGTCATCGAGGTTCTTTGATCTGCTGCCAACACGGAAGTTGTTGACTTTGAGTCTGATAGAGAAGGTAGCCTTGTAGGGTTTCTGTTTTTAAAATTGGGGGTCCAAATGGCAGGTTGAGGTAACGGTTCCAAGTTTGCCATATAGTGCCAAGACTGCAGCGTCGAAGACAAGCGTGGAAGCCAGAGCGCGGGCAGGTGGATGCCGATCCATAATGTTAAATGATGGACGATATCGATTAAATAAGTCGCTCAGCTCTTTGGCAGGATCTTTTCATATGAAGTCGGGCCTTGGACGACGTAAAATGCCTCATTTACGTTTTGGTTCTGGACCGGATCGTGGTGTTTGATGGAGCAGCTGGGGAATTGTGGGATGAGCTGAAGGCGTCAGGGCGGGCGATGGTGGTCTAGAATGACGAAACCCCATCATATTGCGTGTTCGAAACGTAGGATGGGATATGTTCCGTTTGGCCAGCGAGGAGGACCGCGTACCCGAAGGGTGTCGATTCTGTCATTGTGCGTCTCGAGAGCAGTCGAGGCCCGTCTGTGATGCTGGGTGCTGGGTGCTGGGTACTGGGGGCCGATGGCCAGGTCCAGTCGGGTGTTTTCTTTTTGTGATTGGGGTTAAGCCGAAGGTAGAGAGCTATGTATGGAGCACTCGCTGCTACCCTTGGTCGATTAAGCAGCAGGCTTGCAAGGTGAGGTCGTGTAGATGAGGTAGCTGGCGTGTTTCTGGGAGAGGGCTCGCATATGGATGTGTACCGGTATCAACCCTGGAGGTGTCGTTTTGGGGAGAAGAGATGCGGAGGCCACCGTCGGGAGTCGTTCCGGCCGAGGCAGAAGGCTCACGCTGGTGCGGTACTTTCTCGCAAGGCATTGAACCATGCAAAGACAAAGTATCTGGCATCTGAGCAAGGTCAGGTCGGACCCTTGAGATGAGGGAGGCATTCCATACCTTGGCTTGGCCCAAGCCTAAGCATCGGCAAAATGGAGCATGTGGTTGGTCGGGCGGCAAAGTGCTTGGACGGTAAAGCAAAGAGAAAAACGGCAAAAGCATCTGATAATGACTTCACGCATTGCTCTTGGATGTGGGTTCCTGACTCTGTTTCTGGCGCGGTGTTTTCTTTGTCGGGTCTGTGTGGTTGATTAGAATTGTCGAGATTGAAGTCGGAGGGAAAGTTGGATTCGGGAGAATCATCATTAAACTGCCTCGGACGGGAGGAAAGAAGACGATTTGTCACTTTCGAGTGTGCAGCTCTGATTGAGACAGTCGGCCGGAGGAAGGTGGGGATATCGACAGCTGCTGCCCTGTTCTGGCAGGCGTGGCACTGGCAATGGCAGGCGGGGCAGATATAAAGTGGACTCTCTCTCCTCTCTCTGCTGGAAGCGATTGGCAACGACTGGGCAGTTCGGACCCAATTACCGAGTGACAGGCTGTTTTTGATGTATTTTGGATGCCGTCAAAATCTCTTGTTTCCCGGGGCCAGATTCCCCTTATTTTCTTATTCCGTTGTTTACTTGGTTTTACTGTGGCACATGCAGGAGGCTGGGTTGGCTTCTGGAACATGCCAACCAAGAATGACTCTCCAATGAGTGAGGCGTTCTCTCGTGGTAAGAAGCAAGGAGGAGAGACAAGTACCTCAGTTAGATGCATGGCATGGCAATAACAAGTGCTCTATGTCCATCTATGTAAGTGAGTATGGCCGAGTCACAGCTCTTGGGGCCGGGAGGCAACTTCTAGCAAGCAATTGGATCGAGGTGACGCCGCAGGGATAAACCCCTTGGGCGCTAACACGCTTTGAGGCCGCGTTAATGGGCCGGATAGATGAGGTTGTTGTGATATTGGTACGGATACTCTGTACTTCAGCCACGGATACCGTTTGTTTCCAAGTCATGTCATTCGTTGGTGCGCACGTCTGCGGCCATCAAGCTTGTATTATGCTCAGGGAAGACAGGAAACATAGCAACACATGGCGGGGCATAGCATGATGGTCACCGAGGCTCAGCATCAGGTTCTCCATCTCAGCTTCAGCTCTGCAGTAAGGTGCTGGAACTGCGTATCACCACCAAGCAAGAAGCAAGGCTAAGGTAGTTCGAGACAAGCCCGGGACAAGACAAACGGGGTCCCTCTTCCAACCTCAAGCCTCGAGTCTCAAGCCTCTGGAAAACTACCCCTCCATCACCGTGGTCGAGCAGTAGAACAGGAAGACCTTACCTCCGTCCCTAACCTATCGGCGGTATCCTGGCATGCGTGATGGTGGGCCAGGGCCGGTCCTGGTCCTGGCTCGGCCAAGGTCTCTCAAATCATCCAGGATGCCCATCGATTGCTGCAGCTGCAGCTGGTGCTGGGCTGGCACAGGCACCCAAGTGCTCTTCCTCACTGCCCGCTCCGAGGTGAGGAGCCCTGGATGTGAAGGGCGGGCAGAAATACTGAAGTAATGCTGGGGGCTAATTCGGTTTCTGGATCGCACCCGGCCTGCGGTGGAGTTGTTCATCACCGGGCAGGGCATCAGCGCATTGCACGGGGAAACGACGCCGCTGCAATTCCTGGCGTTAGCGCAGCAGCCCAGCAAACACCTGCTGCCCTGAATCCTAGATTGTGCCTTAAGCCGAGGGTACTTCGGTCCACGCGTGGCTCACCACCAAGGAGACATGTACACGTTCGCCTGTCCAATTCGATCCGGCCCAGTGCAATCCCCTGAAAGTGTAGTCCTGCTTTCCAGGCTTGGCCGCCAAACTCCTCCACCTTTTCGCCTGAGCCCGAACCCGAACGACGATCCCATCCTCGCCCGACCTGACTTGTCCATCCTTCTACTTCTGCAACCTGCTTCCCGTCGCCTAGCGCACCTTTGTCCTATTGAGCCTCTTTTCGACTCACACTCTTCGACGTCGCCTTGGACAACACATTGATGAGGCCGACCTGACGCCCGAGGCTTCGATACTCATGATTCCTCCTTTGTGAGCCCGACGACTCCTCCGCGTCTTGCTTCCACGCTTTCAATCTCTTCTGCAACGGGCCCCCGCAGCCGCCGCCACGACCTCCTCACCCTGAACAGTGAGCACCACGCCGGCGCTTCTAGACACTCGACACTCGACACTCGACACTCCCCCGATTCGTCATCCAGCCTCTTCTCCTCTCCCATTGTCCCTCCTCCCATTACCGCCCTTCCTCACATAATTCTCGAACACCACCTACTCAACCCTTGATCTCGATCGTCGCCGATACGAACCTCGACGGCTTCGACGTCGCCAGCCATGAATTTCGATTCAGGCACCGCCTACGCCGAGTCGGATGCCGACGACGAGTACGAGCGCAGCCTAGGGCCCAACTCCCCAGTTACGAATAGCGAAGCATCGCCAATCGATTCCGAGCTGCCTTCCTCGAACGAGCACACCCCTACTACCTATGGCCACCGCAGCAGCGCCGATCGTCTGCCCGAGACCATCATCTCCGAGTGGACCGCTGACGAGTGCGCCGACTTTATCAGCACAATTGGCCTCCCACAATACGCCGACCGCTTCGTTGGTGAGTCGACTCCCCGCTGCTGCCGCCTTTTGTTGATCTGACTGACGTGTACCGAAAGAGAACGAAATTGTCGGCGAGGCTCTAGTCGCGTTGCAACATGACGATCTCAAATCTATGGGTATTGCTAGTGTCGGCCATCGCCTGACCATTTTGAAGAGTGTCTACGACGTCAAAAAGGCGCAAGACATTCCGATAGAGAGCGACCATTATGTGCCCTTGTGTACGTGACGCCGCGCCCCTCTCACAAGAACCTCCAACTGACCTGCCTTCTGTTTACAGCCGCCGATGCCGAAGCGCAGTACGCGACAGCGACTCTCAAAGATATCAAGCACTTGGTCGAACAACTCCGCCTGAGAGACGAGCGAATGAGTCTGGTAGAACAAGACTTGCGTCGACTGACAGACGACTTCAGACGTTTACGCGAGGACATGTTGCCTGCCCTGCGTCTGGCGAAGGATTCGTCACAACCCCTTCCCAACGTCACAACCAACAACAACCAAGGTTACGGATACGAGACTGTGTCGCCACCAGCCCCGACACCGTCGTCCACTCAATCCATGAGCTTGAACCGACAGTACTCTACGAAGAGGATTATGCTCGGAACAACGCCCAAAAACGTCTCCCCCTCACACCTGCAGACGACCCATGAGAGAATGGAACAATCTTTGGACCCGTCAAATGCGGCCGAACGAGCCGTCTTGTCGTCCTCGCACCTGGCAGCCATGAATGGCTCCGGTACCGCTACCTCGCCTGGTTACCCCTCTCCGAATATGCCTTCCCCAACATCTCCTCCGACCCACGGCGGCGCGACGCTTGGGTCCCGGTCTTACCGCTCCGATGTACCTACCCCGTCGACAAGATCAACCTTCGCCGAAAGCGAACACGGCTACAAAGGCCGCGAACAGCCTGTGGCGCCGAAACGTGGCCCGACCCCCGCCCCCGATACGCCGAGCACGAGCAACGCATCCGTCGAAATCTTCAAGTCTTTCAGAGTCAGCATGGACGACCCGTGCTATAAGGTGCTACCTGCCGCGCTTAAGAAATACCAAATCAACGCGCCGTGGGATCAATACGCCCTCTATATTGTTTACGGAGATCAGGAGCGTTGCTTAGGACTGGACGAGAAGCCTCTCATCCTGTTCAAGCAGCTCGATAAGGAAGGCAAGAAGCCCATGTTCATGTTACGAAAGACGAACAACGCCCAAGTCGACCTCTCGGCAGAGCAACCAGGGAGCGCGGGGCTTACGGCAAGGGGCGCTGCAACCGGCTACGATCCGCCAGGCGGTATCATTTAGGGGGTGATACCACTGCTGATTATTCTCGACGCGTACCCTTCGATGATTTGATTTACTTTCCTTCCGGACTATTTTGAGTGGAAAAGCAGCCCCATGTCGAATGCTGGGCTGCAAGCTCGACTGGACCAGAGCAAACCGGAGTTGGGGTTCACCTGCATAGCGCTGCGCGAAGGGGAGACGCGACTGCTTTGGAATAACTGTCGCGGAAACATTGTGTGGGTTCGATTGGGCGGGGTCTCTCCACGGTGTTTCGTCTCGCATCTGTTCCTAGGTTGTACGAACTCGAAACGTGGATCCGAGGAGTATTGTTTTTCATTTGCACGAGCTCCAAAGCCTCTCACGAACCAGATATCGGACCAGAATTCGCCGCGGCAGGACTATCCATATCCATATTGTCGAGATACTTTGTTCTCTCGTGAAGAGATTTACAGTCGGACGGGGCTTACGCTGGGTGTAAGCAATGAATAGAGCATTGCGATTATCTATCTGGGAGGGGTGGTCTGATCAGGCGGCAGTTCTTGTAACAACGATGCTACTCGGCAGGAGGTGGAGGGGTTTTTGGATACGGGAGTGATGGCATCTGCTCTGTGCAGCAAAAAGACAGGTCGCGAGCACTGTCGACGGGGAGCTTATTTGATTCTTGACATTATTTTATTCACCATTCGATTGGACATGCTCTTCTGCATCACCGTGTGATTGATCTCTCTGTGACTCGAGTGTAGGAAGCGAACCAAGCCCGAACCCTCTTTGGCAAGGCTAGGGATACCAATCCGATACACGTCCTGCATCCGCCAGCGCGGCGGAAATAGGACGATCTCAGGAGAGGATGCGGTTGATCCTCACGCGTCGAACGAGGTCCTGCACGAACGACGCCAAGGAAGGCCGATCGCGTCAACGGTCAGGGTTTCTCCCCCTTCTAGAAGCACAGGGCGGATCCGATCCGCCACGGGGATTGGGAACGGGATGGGATGACGAACGAACGAACGGCGAAGGGGTGCCAGAGCCAGAGCCGGTGCGAGTTTGGCTCGGAGGGGGAGGGGAGGTGGTTGGGGCTGTGCTGGATGCCGTGTGAGTGGGTTTAGGGCCATTTCGAGATGGGAATGGGATGGGTGGCATGTGGCATGGGATGATGGAACGGTTCGTTGGTAGTCTACTGCTGCTGCTGTGTGAGGAAGGTCATGTTGTTGAGACGAATTGGCTTTCCCCCCCCCCCCGTCGGAAGATGTTGCTGTTGCTGGGGAGTACAGCCAAACAGCACATACGAGAGAGATCGCCATCGTCATCGTCAACGGCCTACCGGGAGGGTGGTATTCGGGTGCCGGCGGAGGGAAGGGAGGGAGGGGGGCCAGCGGCGCCGAGTAGCATGTCTCAGTTTGGTGGGCGTCCTGCAGGTGCGAAGTCGTGAAGTCCCCTTTTTTGGGGGCTGAATGGTGTGGTGTGCGGTGTGGTGTGGGTTCCTTTTGGGAAATGGATGTTTGTGGGGTTGGGAAGATGGGGACGACGACGACGACGACGACGACGACGACGATGGTTCATGAGACTGGGTTGAGGAGATGCTTCTTTCTGAGCAAGTTTTTTTTCGAGACGCGTCGGAATTATGAGCCGGTCGGTACGGGATAAGGTAGGACGACGGAGCCGGAAGCGGAGCGGACGTCCGGGTGGTGTCTTTGGAAAGGGTTTAGGATGATCAGCCCGTCTCTTGTCTGCTTTTGGGCGGCCGGGACACGGCTGGCGGGATGTGTTTTGGATATACGGATAGGCGCCCGCGATTGTTTGTGAATACGAGGTTTTGGAGGGTTGGGTGAGGCTATATCGGGATGTGAAGGAAAACCGTCCTGTCAGTTTTTTGGCGCTTGATTTGGTTTCAGGCGGGAAAAAATTGTATGTCCTCAAAGCTGTTCTGGACGAAGACGCAAGAGAGACCGTTGAGCAGCCCTAATTTGTTATCTTGATTACCAATTGCGCAAAGTTCGATTACCGCGAGTTGAGGTCTACGGGGCGCCGGAAAGCACGACCGATCCCGTCCCCGAACCCTCCCCTCCGTATGGGACCTACAAAGGCAAGTCGGCGGCGCGCCGGTGCGGATCCTGCGCCGAGAAGGGCAGGATGAGATGCAGGGCCAAGGCGTGTCAGATGCACGGGACAGAGAACATGGCATCGTCATTACCCGTTCTGGGTATCCCGTCGGCTTCGTCTTTTTTCTGTCTCTATCTGGTAATAGTGACCCCCACGTGTTCGATTGACGGGATGTTTCGGACGTTGTCTTCTTTTTGTTTGTGAGAATACTTCGTAGTCTATTACGGACGGTGCTTTCAGAGAAACAGGGGTGATGTTCGTATGTGAGCGATCTGATGTCTTGCTTCCCCTCTGGGATCGATCAGATGTTAGGATAAGCAAGTTGAGTTGGGATATGAAGGTTTCAGGTACACTGGATGCCAAATCGAGCAGAACAGGACAAAAGCAACGGCTTGAAATGGGCATGTGCATCGCAGAGTTGCTCGTCGTTGTTCACAGTGAGTGTTCTTGCTGTGTGTGTGTGTGAGTGTGTGTGTGGAACGTCTGAAACTCGGCGCGTTCGTTGACTGAATCATGTCTCTCTGTTCTGCATGGACAAATTGGGACGCCGGAAACTCTTGCTGATGGAAGTCGTGCGGGATTGACCGGTGTCACTCGTCTGACGGGTGGGTTTTCTTTCCTGCTTGTGGTTTCTTTTTCTCTCCAGAGATGGAAAGAGGCAGGTGTCGAGTTTTGGGAAGGATTAATGGTGTTTGGCTATTGGTGGAAGTTACCCTGTGTCGTCGATGGGTTTTGGGATGATGATGGTTTGGGGGCCGATTTCTAGAAGGTGATCCATGCAACTTACTTACTCCATGGTTGGTTACTTGGAAGATCGGCCTGAAGCTGGGCTTTTTACTTGGGGGAGGCTTCAACCCGATTCGTGTCCATCATGTCCCCTTGTCTTCCTTCTCTGATCCATATGGATTTGCCCTCTTTTTCGTCTGAATTACCTATGCAACTTGCGGTTGGTTTGGAGCGGCTTGCCTATCCGGGTGTCGTCTCTTTGCAGGCCGCCCCGCCGAGTCTTGAGTCGTTCTCTCTCGACCCCACCGCATAGTTAGGGCTTCCAGTCTCCCTGCACACAGGTCCACAACCACAACAATCATAATCCACTTCATCTCGTGCTTCTATCACACAGGTAAAGCCCGAGTGGCTCAGTGGTAAAGCGTCTCACTAGTATCCGGTTCTCCGGTCCGAAATGAGAAGATCGTCAGTTCGATTCTGGCCTTGGGCACTGTGTATTCTTTTTAACTCTTTTGGCAACTCTGCTATGTCTAGAGTCGTTTTTTTTTTGTGGTTTGGGTAGTTAAGCCGCTGCTTGGTCTGATTTTGGCGATTGCTGCTGATATCGGGCATATAGCTGGATGTTTTTGTCCATACTAGCCAATAGGTTTTCTTGTAGTGGTGTTTGGGGATGATTGACGAATACGAACATCACCGTATTGAGTGGAAGGTAGAGGGGATCAGCAGAGAGCATTCAACAATTTTCATGCTGTGTTGGACTTAGACTCTGATTGGAATTTTCCTCGATTATCAGTTATATGAGTTCATCAGAGCAGCTCAAGATCTAATATCATGTCTATCTCGACGCTTCCTAGCAGACCCGGAGCACTCGCGGAACAAAGGCAGATACGAGAGGGAAGAAGCCTCAACCAAGTGAAGATGCCAAAATTATACTACGTCGAGAAAATTGGAGTCTCTTTGACGTCGAGGACTTGTGTTGGATACAATGAACAATTGGTGCTCGAAGAGACGACTTGATGTACTGCCATCGTGAACCACGTTCCTTCCCTTTGAACACTTCATCTGGTGAAGTCGGCACACTTGGTCTTGTGGCCTGACACTAGCCATTATTTACCTCACTCATAAATTGATGCCTGGTCATACCAATATTATAGCACTTTAAGCTTGGAATCTTTCTTGAAGGGGGTAAAAACAAAACGCTGAAAACGCGCTTGCCTGCCGTTCCTGCCTCCTCGGGTGCCTTCCATCCACGGTCGTCTCGCCTCACACTTTTTACCCATCACCTTTTTTTCTCACCCGGTCGACTACCAGGTTTTTCCTTCTTCCCTATTCACCACCAAGTCTTGAGATCTCGGAGAAGGATCTCAAGATCTTGCCTCCGCCTAGAAAATCAGCCCCAATTTCGACAGAGCTACCTCCCTCCCTACCAACCTCTTTTTCGCAAGCAGCGATACCAGGTGAGTCCCTTCACAGCCTACCAGAAATGATCACCATTTAATTCAAACAGCCGCAGGCAATTGCAAGACACAGATCGCGGACGAGAACGACGACATTCGGTCAATCCTCGTCATCATCGTCATCATCATCATGGACTCCAACGCCGTACCCTTCACCTTCCAAGCTGGCGGCGGCCAACTCTCCTTCGGTGGTGGCAGCCAGGAGCTACCTGCTTGTACCTGGGAAGCACCTGAGCCCTCTCAGGATGAAGACGACGGAAATGATCGCAAACGCCGTCGCGTCCAGGTGGACATGGACAAGCTCGGCGTTTCTGTCCTCAAGCTTGGCTCCGACATGACTTTCGACTTCCGGTCCGCCCACGCAGAGGCTGAGAAGAAGCTTATCGACATCACAGCTGAGCGTGACGAGCTACAGAACAATCTGGATGTGTCTCGGGAGACCATCGCCCGACTTGAAACCGAAGCGAACCATCTCAGAGCCGTCGGCCGGGCGGAACACGACCTCATCAAGGCCGAAAAGCAGAGACTTGAGGCACAGCTGGTGGACATTCGAACCGACCTGGCTGAGGCTAAAAAGAAGAACCGCAAGCTCGAGACACGGGTCAAGGAAGAGAAGGCAAATGTCACGGCGAAGACCGAAGAGTCCCAGCAACTGGAGGACACTCTTAAGGAGGTAAAGACAAAGCTCAAGAATGCTCGCAACAAGAACAAGGCCAAGGAACAGGAATTCGACAATCTTAAGGACGACGTCAACCGTCTCAGGGAAGATTATACCAACCTTCGGAGCGAGAACGAGCTCAAGGTCGAGGAGTGCCGCAACCTCCAAGATGATCTCCTGGCTGTGGCTCAGCTCAACGATCGCTTCTCCGAGCTTGAGACCAAGAACAAGGAGTTGGGGGAAAAGCGAGACTTGCTCATGGCAGAGAAGCTGGAGCTCAAGGAAGACTATAACAAGCTCGAGGGCGAGACTGACAAGCTCAAGGATAAGATTGAACAGCTGAAGACAGAGAATGAAGAGCTGAAGCTGGAGAAGCAGGAGCTCGAGCGAGACAACAACGCCCTGGCAGACACGTGCTATGGAAGCCCGAAGACCCCCAGAACCCCCAGGAAGAAGGCTACGCCGAAGAAATCCCAACCCTCCCGAAGCCCATCTGTGGTAGAGTCTGGTAGTAGTAGCATCACGGCTGCGGGGTCTATGAATGAGAGCCTTTCCTGGATCAAGGACGAGATGGACAGTGTTTAAGTCGTTTGCAGAGGATATGGACAACGGTTGATTAAAGTGTGGAGGGGTTTTACTGAGATCAATGTAATGTTAATGCTACCAAAGCACGAGAACTTTCAGATATGGTTATTATTGAGTCTTTCCCACAAGTAACTTGATTCTCATCGCTCTGATAAGGCTTTATGAAATCCAGCGACGACCCTCAGAGCCCATGTCTCCAGAAAGACAGAGTCCATGCAGCAAAGGCTGGGTTGTGACAACGACATGCCAACGCCAATCCTTCCGCATCGCCCATGCTCTCTCTCGGGGTCAAATAGAACTACGTTGTCACATGGAAGGGAATTGCATTCGGCTTTCTTACATTCACTCTACATCCATATCTCGGGAGAAGCTCGAGTGAAAGCCCAAGGGATGCTAGACAAATTCCATGAGCGTCTCACAGTCAACACTCTGCACCATCAGCAACTCTGCCGCTTCCCTGACATGTAGCCTGTATCTTCATGTTGCTTGAAACTTGAAGGTACCGAGATCTCTGCTGGCTACATCTTGATTGGGTAAGCCAGAGTCCTCGATTTTCATTGCAGCACATTTCAAGAAAAAGGCCCTCATGTCCTCTGATACATATTCTCCAACCTTCCAATAGCTGGGAATGCGCAGGAGCTCCTGATCTCTCACGGCAATCTCCATGCCTGTGGAACTCGAGGAGTTCAGCCGCAACGCCTCCTCGGGGACATTTTCCTACTTTGGCCTCCTATTACAGATCCCTACCGAGCAAAGCGGTGGGCATATAACCATGGCGATGGCAGCAATATCAATGCAGTCTAAAGGGATGGGTATTTAATTTGAGGGGCTCGAAGGTATCACGTAAATCCATTCTTGCGCGCTTGAAGACTCGCACGAAGTTCAAAGTTCTCGCTAGGCCTGTGGAGCTTGGTGCGCGGTAGCGGACTGGGAGAGGCGTGTGAGTGTGGTTGGGTGGGTTTGGAGTACAATTACTTGTTTCCTCTATCTGGATACCAGAATAATCATATCCAATATCCCCTTCTATCAATCCACCCTTCATCGCACCCTCAACTGTCCTTATTCCTCCTTCTTTCCAATCCTCGGCAGGCAAAGCCACAACCCAAGCATGACCCCCAAAAACGCCAGGATAATAGGCTGCAAGACCTGCACACCCTTCGCGTTCGCAATGACACCGACAGCAAACGGCAGAATAGCGGCGCCGCTGCCCCCAAACGCCGCCGCGAACCCGATCGTGCTGACGTGGAGGTGCCTCGGCAGCAACTTGGTCGCCGCGACGACGACGGCCGGGAAGAAGGGACCAAGGAAGAAGCCCTGCAGCGAGACGGCGACGGCGGAGACGTAGAACTGGGGCACGAGCCAGAAGAGCAGCTCGAGGGCCATGGTGACGGGGATGTAGAGGGCGACGGCGAGCTTGACGCCGAGGCGCGGGGTGACGAAGCCGAGGACGACGCGGCCGAGGGTGATGCCGAGCCAGAAGCCGACCGAGGTCATGCCCGAGTCGAAGTTGTTGGCGCCGCGGACCTGGATCATGAACTGCACGATCCAGCCGCCGAGCGAGACCTCGGTGCCGACGTAGGCGAGGAGGAAGAAGGCGCACAGCCAGGAGACGCGGGCGTAGGGGCGCTTGAAGAGCGCGGTGCGCATGCCGCCGCCGTCGGGGCCGTTGCTGGAGTGGCTCACCGTCTCGCGGTAGGCTGCGCCGGTTTGGGTCCAGAAGGCGGAGGTGCACCATGCTAGTTCGATAACGGCCATGCCGAGCTATAACCCCCTCCAGTTAGCATTCATCGTTCTTCTCCAGCCTCGGAGGACTCATGAAAATGTCAGACTCACCAGAACGTAGTAAAAGTTCCACCATCCCAGGTTAGCCTTGTTGATCATGGTGGTCGCGATAAGCGGGCTCATGACGCCGCCGGCGCCGTAGCACGCGTGCAGGAAGCCGAGGACCTCGTTGGCGCGGTCCATGTTGCCGATGTAGGCGTTCCAGGCGGCGTCGCTGATGCCGTTGCCGAAGCCGGCGAGGATGTAGACGACGACCAGGACCGGGTAGGGCGGGTGCTGGGAGATGACGACGTAGGCGGCGATGTGGCACGTCGAGGCGATGATGGCGATGCCGCGCTGGCCCGCTTTCAGGTGGATCCAGTTGTTGAGGAGGGCGGAGAGGACGTAGCCGACGAAGGGGGAGAGGAAGACGAGGGAGACGACGGTGTAGCTGAGGCCGTAGTACGATTCGAGCTGCTGGGGTGAGTTTGTGCTCTTTGAGAGCGGATGGGGGATGGACGTACGTAGGGGATCAGAGCCTGGGTTTGGAGTTAGTTGAATATTCGACAGAGATTGAGAGGACTGGAGACTTACACCGTAGGCGGCATCGTTGGCGCCCGAGACGAATAGACTCCAAAAGCAGGAGAGCACCCTATTCGCGTTCGACCTCGGATGGTTCCATTTTTGAGTGACGGCCGCAGTCGTCGTCGGTGCTGGTAGACCGCCGGTCGCATCGTCGCTGGATCCGAGACGGTGGCCTTCGGTGTTGAGAAGACTGGCGTCCTTGGGTGTCGTCGGCCTTTCCAGGTTCTGTAGCTGGACGGTCGACGTAGACGACGTGGTCGCCATGTTGGAAATAAGGTAATCTGCACCTGACGTCCTTCAGATTTGGTCAATTCGGTCGGAGTCGTTCAAAGCTTCCAATTGAGTTTTCGGGAAAAGAGTTGACGTGTTGCGGCTCCCGAGTCTTTAAAGCTCGAGATTGAGTCGAGGGACCAGGTGGGTTTTATGACCGCACTTCGCAGGATATGCTCGACGTTATGACGAATCAGGGACATGGAATACGAGGTGTGTAAGAGTAAGAATACCCCGGTTTCTCCAGATTAGAGTAGCCACCAGCTCGGCTCTCACCCGCGACGGAATATATTTCGCTAGTCGATCACACAGTCATTCGGCAAACGGCAAACGGCAAACAGCCCAACGAAGTCCCTTTCTTTTTTGTGATGTCTCGTGCGGCAATGGCCGACTTTAGAAGGTCGATCCGCCTGACCTGAAAGGAAGAAGATTCGAACGGATCGGGGACTGGGGCCGTTGAACCGGCGCGGCGGTCCGGGCGACCTCATTGGGCGGCAAAACCCCGGGGACGCTGCGTATCCTCTAAATTATGGGGTTCGTTGGCGGGACCGGGGTGGAAAACGTATCCCGCCAAGGAGGCGTGATTTGTCCTGTCTCCCGATCGGGAGAGTCTGCCAGCTCCGCTAGACTCCGCTTGCGACGACATTCCGCGAGCCTCCTCGTTGGACGTCAGGTTGGTCGTAGGGCGTGGATGGTTGAGTTGCCACTAACCACTGCGTTGTTGCTTTCCATGGGGTTTATATCTGAGACATAGCTATGGCCATTGTGATCAATTTCATCTCTGGATGAACCGGTCTTTATATGTGCCCTGCTTGAGTATGTGTCTCGTTGTCGCCGTGATTGCGGATCATTTTACCGAGACCTAGATGAACGGTGGTTGTCCGATGTTGGCACTGAAAACATCCAACAGTCATTCAAAATCGCCAATCGCCAACTCACATCCGTTACTGATGTCAATAGGCACACAACGCCCTCAAGGCTCAATAAGTCGACCAATCCAGGCATGACATTGAAGAGTATCGACCGAGCAGGATACTTACTTATCAGCAGAGGTCGCACCCAGATGCAGCCCGCCGGGGTCTTTGACCAACCCCTCGGAGAACCATCAGCTCCGTCCCAACAGTCTTCGACACTGCATGAACCTCGGGCCGTCCCGCTCCCTCGACGACATCCTTCCGTATCCTGATGTGGACCACGAACTGGTCTTTGGCACTGCAAGATCGCATCTGTGCCAAGCGCCGCGGAGATCTGATCTACTTGGCCTCCGTCTGCGAAGTGCACCGTGGGCTACTGATCGGATAGGGATGTGGGTCGACAAGAGCTCCCACGTGGGTGGCCGACATTACTTCTCTCCTAGTTCCCCCTTAGCCCTCGAGCAAGCGTCGAGACCGAACGATGAGTAAGCACTTTGATGTGAAAGATGTGATTCTTTTGTGATCATTATTCAATTCTCACGCATCGAGCGTTTACGGCCGAGGCTCTCGAGAGCAGCATTGTACAGGTGATATTGCGACAACTCATACAGGGTAGTCATGTTTTCTCCCCCTCCTTCTCTGTGGGGGGCAGATGATGATCGTGTGTGTTCCAGTTCTACCCAGTCTATCGTTTCCCGCCAGCCATTAAAAGCCGATCGATCTATCGTTTCGCTCCCCGGCACCATACACACAAAAGAAGCGAAGAGAAGTTACTGAAAACAAAGTAGACAAAAAAGAAAAGAGGTAATGTCCCAGTTTTGCCCTAGAGGGGGCAGGAAAAAAAGATTATGAACGCCTGAAACGACCTAACTTATTCTCGTGAAATGTCACGGCCGAAGACCTTGGACTTCAGCCAGTCGTTGATGACCAGGAGACGGTTGCGAGCTGTTGTGTTTGTTAGCTTGCTAAAGTCTTGCCGAGGTACGGCGGCGGGAACTTACTGCTGAAGCACATGGAAAGGTAGGCACTGCGCCAGAAGAGGTAGGTCATGCTACCACCGCTAGCGATGTTGCCGTTCCACCAGCTGACGTCAGCGACGGCCTTCTCGGAGCCGATGTAGGCCAAGCTGCCCTGGTGAGAGTAGTGGAAGGGCTTGATGTCCTTGATGCGACGGAGCTGGCGCTCGTGAGCCTCAATCTCCTTGGCGACATCGGCCGCGTTGCCGGGCTGGAGGTTCAGGTTGCCGCTAAGCTCCTGGACGCGGGCCTCGAGAGACTCGGTTCTGGCCATGTTGTTGAAGAGCTTGGCGAGGAAGTTGCCCTCCTGGGCAGCGACCTGAGCCGTGGGGGCGTAGCCGGCAACGGCGCAGTCGCCAATGGCCCAGATGTCGCGGGTGCCCTGAACGACGAGGTACTCGTTGACGGCCAGACCACGGCGGGAGTCCTTCTGAGCGGGGATCTTGGAGATGAGGTCGCGCACGATGGGGCGAACAGCGTTACCGGTGGCCCAGACGAGAAGACCGTAGGGGATCTTGAGGGTCTGCTTCTTTCCATCGGGTCCGGTGGCCTCGGCCTCGACCATCTGGTCGGTGACCTTCTTGACCATGGTCTTGGTCAGGATGTCGATCTTCTCCTCCTCGAAGGTCTTCTCGGTGTACTCGATGAGCTGCTTGGAGAAGGAAGGCAGGACGTTGGGGAGAGCCTCGATCAGGGTAACCTTGAAGCGGTCGGCGATCTCGGGAACCAGACGCTTGATGTCCTCCTCGAAGAAGTCCTGAAGCTCACCGGCGAACTCGACACCGGTGGGTCCACCACCGACGACAACCATGTGCATAAGACGGCTGATATCCTCGGCGGACTGGTCCTTGAAAGCGGCGGTCTCGACGCAGTCCATGATCTTCTTGCGAATAGCCTGGGCGTCGCCAATCTCCTTCAAGAAGCAAGAGTTCTCGCGCACACCCGGGATACCGAAAGTGGCGTTCTCAGCTCCGACACCGATGACGAGCATGTCGTAGGCGACCTCAGTCTCGGACATTGAGCCCTTAATTTCCGAAGTATCCAGAATCTTGACAACCTTCCTGTCGGGGTCGATGGAGCTGGCCTCGGCTTCGTAGAACTTGACGGCGGCCTTCTTGTGGCGGAGAATGGTTCGGATGGGCTCCATGATGGAGCGGTGCTCAATGGTGCCGGTCGTGCATGACGGGAGAAGAGGGGTGAAGAGGAAGTAGTTTCTGGGGGAGATGACGACGACGTTGTAGTTCTCCGTGTCGAGCTTCTTCAGCATGGAGACGGATCCCCAGCCGGTGCCTGCCAAGGGCGTCAGTACCAACTTTGTCGTCGCAACCACACGGGTATGCGGCGGATGTGCGTACCAAGGATAACCAGAGTCTTCTTGGTAGGGTCGAACTCGACCTGGTCCTCAAAGTGCCTGTCCTCGTAGACGGTGTATCCGACGTAGGCGAAGAGACCGAGGGTGGAGAGGTAAGTAAGACGCCAGACCCATCTGAAGGTCCTGCGAATCTTGCCGGGCTTCTTGACGGGAGCGGCGTCGGCGTACTCCCTGCGGAACTGGCGCGCGACGGTTCTGGAAGCAGCGGCAGCTACTGGCCTCGCGGCGACGGTGCGCAGGCCTTGTCTGGAGGTCGTCGTGAGGGTTCTGCGACCAGCGCTGGCAGCAGCGCGCGGAGCTCTCGGGACGAGCTGGGCCGCGCGAAGGGAGCTCATGGCTCTGGCGGTCGAAGCCATTGCTTCAATTGTCGAGGGAGAGAAGGTCTCCGGTGACCGGTAAGGGGTAGTGGGATGGGTGAGGAAGGTGAACGACTTCAATGGAAAGAGGAACAGGAAGCAAAAGGGAAAAAAGAGAGGAAGAGGGAATTCGGAGAACGATAAGGATATGCGCGGCCAGCTGGTGGGCGTGCCGTGTGTGACGCAGCGAACAAAAAAAGAGCAAATGCGGCGGCTGGACCCTCCCGAGTCGGCGGTATTTTTCTCGCACCAAGCTTGCAGAAAATTTCAGGTGCTACGGGGGTGAGGTCAGAGATAGCGCGCTCCGCCGCTGGCAATCAGAAGCTTGGACCGGAACGACGAGACGTGATTGGGTAGACTGAGAGCGGAATCCTCTGGCCGACAGCGCTGTTGCTCGCCAACTTCGCAAGCAGGCAGGTCTTGGCTGGGACTGCCAACTGGGGACCACAGGGGGAATAACGACACTACAGACCTTAACTACAGGGTCACTGTCCTTCTTCCCGCGTAGCCGCGCCCTCCTCCTCCTCCCAATGGAGCGCTTGTTTTTTCCTCTATCAGTGTGTCATTTGATCTTTGGTCCAAGGCAGTGGCTCGGGTGGGCCATCGGGGTTCATTCACCCTCTTTTTCGCTTTCACAAGTCACTCATTCATCCAAAGACTGAGAGAGGAAGCACCGCTCAGCTGCCAAAACGGCGCAGCCCTCCGCCGCCGCCCCGGTCACGGCCACAGCGGCCGAATCCCGGCGTTTTGTCCGACTCACAAAATTTATTTCTACGGGCCTCATTTTCCGCTCGACATTCACCATCCGCGCCTACCTTACCTTCCTTGATGTCGTGATGGCAACGCAAATCCAGATGAGTCAGGTTTCTCCATTGCGCTCTTTTTCCGCACTCTCCTGTCCTCCCGTTTCCCGACCTCGATATCCCCGGTGCCGCGGTCACGGCACGTAGCAAATCATTACCTGATGTTACACACAAACGTCACTAATACCGCTCACCCGGGGGCCCACTTTCACCTGTCACCCACCAGCCACTTTAATGTTAATGCAGAGCCGCTGTTTACTCGCAATCGCCCACGACGACCTCATTTCAAACACATGCAACTCATGTCGATATTCACCTGCCATCCTTTCCCCCGAGCAACCCAAAAAGCTTGTGAAAGCTCATGCGACGCCAATTCCCCCCGTGAGATAACCTAGTTTCTTCCTATTTCTCCCGCCGAAAGAACGCGACCAGAAAACACATGCCGCTTCTCCGAGCCTCTCCGAACCAGCGACTCTATCTCGGTCTTGTGGAATCACCCGGGATCTTCTTAAGTCTAGCTCGCGGCTCTTTCGCAATCGCTGATGACGCTACCGTAAGGCTTGGAGTCATCCAGCCCGAGATTGGTCCACCCTCCAAATATTCCGACGAGTTGCCGATGCTCCCGAGGATGGGGTAGACAGGCGACTCCATCCGGCCGAGGCTCGAGCCTTTCCCACGTCTTCGAGATTGCCCTCCGCCGCGTGTCGCACCGCTCCCTCCCATTCCTCCGACCCATTTCGGTGCCTCGTCTCGAGGCACCGCCTCCGGGGTATCGACCAGCCCTGAGCGGACCGATGGCCCCACATCGCAGGCCCCATCCCCTCCGAAATCGTCGCCGACGCCGGCGGGGATGGGTGGTGGTGGTCCAGCGGCGTTAGAACGCATTTTCGGTCTTGGCGGTTATTGGCGTCATCAATTAGACCTTGGCTCCCGCACTCTCCTTCATACAAAAAGGAGTCCTTGGCCGCCATATACTCACGACCATCGTCTCACTGCCAACCACCGCCGGCGACGTCTCGTCTCTGCGTCAGTCCGTACGGACACAACTCTCAGACGGGTTCACCATCACCATCACCATCAGACATGTGGCTGCGCAGTTTGACGTGTTCTGGTGTCGCCTCGGCCTGATGTTTGTCCTCGCGAGTTGCAACCGTGCCTCGGCTGCCCCCAGCTCTGCAACCTTCAACACCACTTCTCTCGCACAGCACACCCTCTCGCGCGTCTTGCTCGAATCTTGAGATGCAAAAAAATCTTGGCGATGCTTGGCGAAACTCGCTTTGGTGTGCACTCGCGAGAGCCTGTCATGACGCCTGCTAATTCACCCCCGACGATGCGCTGCTCGTCTGGAGATGAGACTTGAGGGATAAGTGAGCATCGTTGTACTACACGAGAACCTGGCACGGTATAAACCCGAGTAGGGTAGTCGAGCTGTTGAGCCCATGCTCGGCGCAAACCCGATTTTGAGAGTCTGAGGATGCTCTCACCCCGTCGGACGTGGTGGTCTTTTTAGGAAAAGTTTCCTTTGGCCAAGACTCGTTGTTCGAACCAGAGGGCCCCGGCCGAGATCGAGCGGGTGTGCTAGTGTGGGCGGGAAGGAAAAAATAGGGGTCCGTCAGGAGCCATTCACCATACTCTGCGGCCACAAGTCTGACTGGTAGCTGATATGATTGCTTGTTTCTGTGCAATCGTTGTCGCTGCTGCTGCCAGAATTGAGGATGTTCTCCAGGTTGTCCTCTGCTCACCGTCCTCATCGTCGCCATCCTCATGGCCCCTACCGCTGGAACGGACTTCAACTAGGAGAGGCAGGAGAGGCAGGTGAAGGTGAAGACGTAGTTGCCAGAGGTCTTACACAGCCCCTCGGGAGACCCAACGAAGAATCGCCCCGAAAGAAACTACCGCGAAGAAACGAAACGGATACCTCGTGTTCAAGAACCTCACCTTTCCGGGCCCCGAAGGACTGAAACGCCGCAAACTCAACTCGGCCAAAAGAGCCAGCAGTAACCGCAGTGGAGGGCCGATGCGTAAGGTGGTATCTACTAGACGAACAGAGTGGGAAATGTGAAACAGGGTCGTGTCTGACTACTAGCTCTCACGCAGGAGAGAAAGTGGGGTCAAACCCAGGCCATGGAGGAGCTTCATTCAGACGAAGCAAGGCAGGTGAAGCGTCAGTTAACCGCTCGTTTGATCGCAGTCCGCGGCCTTTTCCAGAGAATGAGTCCGAATTGGGGGCTTCAAACGGTTTTTTCGTCATCACGCGGTGCCGGATTTCCGCTGATGCCCTCAACTTGACGGGTCTGGTGAGGCCCAACTTCGGGATACCCGCTGCTGCTTCAGATGTCGAGATCATGAGCCAACTCTCAGCTCACCCGTCGTTTGACAGCGCTTATACTGCATGATGTTGCCCCAGTGCGGCTGCTCGAAGCCATGCCCGCAAGTTATGCCGGTAGATGGGAGGCGACTTGCGGTGCGGAAACGGTGCCCACATCGAGTCCTCCAAGAGCCACTTTGTCGATGGTGAACCAGCTAGCTCTCTTCATGTTGAATGCCCCGTCGCTGGGGGCTACGCGTCGGGACGGCGGGCGAGTTGAAAAGCAAGAGTCCAGAACATTGCATTGCAACGTATCCCGCATTCGCCTATCTCACGAACAATTGTCTTGGGGTGGGCGTTACCCATGCGTTAGAAGGCATCCCGCGTCTTGGTAGTTGATCGTAAGCTTGGCGATGATGTCGTGGTAGCCAAGCCGCGGAAGATTTGTCAAGCGACGTTGATCCCGGCCAGGGTGATTGACGCCCGCGATGCAATAGCGATGCAATATGGCATCGCGACTCTGGCCAAACCGAGTATATTGATTCAATATGTTTTGAGGCGGCTTGGGACCTTAAGGTTTCCCGCGATCTGGCGTTTCCCAGCACAGTCAATATATATCGCCAAGCCCTCGCCATGGCTTCGAGATGCAAGAATGGCCAGATAACTCTCGTCCGCTGTTGAATGCGGTTAAAGCGCCCAGCAAACGGTTCAGAGAAAACGCATGCGAGAGCGGAGAGCGCAGAAGCACAGAGCAGAGGCAGAGCAGAGTTCCCAGCAAAATTGCCTTACAGAGCTTCGCCGAGAAGCTCTTGCGGAACGGAACTCTGTCCTCCAACACTTCCGGCTATGACGGCCAAGCAAGCCCTGCGTTCAAGCTTCTGTCTGAATAAAGGGGAGAGAGCCAATCAGTGGGCGAGTAACGGGTTGCTCTGATCGCCTTTGCAGGTTTCCAGATGCCAAGAAGGGAGCTTATTTGCCTCTTCGGTGCGACAACTCTTGCGAAGTGTAGCAGCATACCGACGGTATGGTGTGTTGAAGTTGAGGATGAGATGAAGACAAGGTGAGAACAAGGGGCGCAGAACGGGTCCTGGAGACCGGCTAGGACGGCAAAAGTGTGCAGAATGTGACGAGAGTCAGGTTTGGGGGGGAGGCCGTGCGGCTCGCCCGCCGAGGGGGTATAGCATAACTCGAGACCAATAGCAAAAGTAGCCGACTCCGAGCAGGCGTGCGTGGTATTGGACTGGAGTTGCGAGTCGTTATCGAGACTCGAGAAGGACTGAACGATGACCGGGGCTGCTGGTTTGTCAGGGGCTAGAACGAGGCGAGGCGAGCGCCCCGACTAAGCGGGTGACGGGAACGAGGAGCGGCTATCTTGTAAAGTATGTGGCCGAAATGCTCGGAAAGCACAATGAGAGTTCTGAATCCAGAGAGAATTGTATGTGGATCACTTCAGTAGCCTAGCCTCTCGTCTAAGAGAAGCTGATTGAATCCAAGTGCCAAACTAAAATCTGGGCGTTTTGCCCAGCGATGGACGTTTCCGCAGCCCAGATCTGGCAGCTGGAGGAATGACAGGGGGGTCCAAGCCAATAACGGCAGTTAGCATGAACGTTGAAGAGCCTCACCTACCCGAGGACCCTGGGCAAGCTGTGATGCGAGCCTCTGCAGGCGTGTACTGCATAGTATGGCAGAACGGATGACGATAGGGTTCCAACTGGCAGCCCAGGGGTTTTCTTTTTGTTTTCAGGGGAAGACGAGACTGGATTGGAGGATGGGTCGAACGAGACGTTGATTCGGCATGACGGCTGGTCGGAAAAGACGGCGAAAGTCAGTTCAACTCCTGAACCACGACAACGACAGCGACAGCGACAGGGACGTTTGGTGTTGGTGTGTTGCGGCTCCTTTTGGCTCGAGTTTGTGTGCCTCACCTTATGAAATTTACCTTGCTTTCCCTTCCCTTCAACTGGCATGTCGGTGCCTAACGTGCCTATCGACGTGACTTGACTTTGGTTAGCTCACTTACCTCCGACCCGAGTTGGAGCTTCAGCTGTCGGAACGTACCTCGACTTCCCACCGGCACGCGACGCAACAAATGAGAGATGATGACGGGTCACGAAGGTGTGTGAGCTGCCCATACAAGATGGGAGGGAGTACCGTGCTCGAGGTGTCAGAGATGCAGTGATGTTCGGATTTTCCACTCCCTGGCAGCTGGGTAGCCCCTGAAGTGGTAGACCAGATGCGACCACGACGGGGATGATGACTGAGGTCTTTTGAGAGGAGGATACTTCGTATGGTAGGTAGCGGTAGAGAAGGTCCAGAAGGTGCGGTTCAGCACACCGGCGCAATGCCTCAGCGGTGTTGCAGCACCGGCGGCGGGGACATATCAGTGCGCCGGAGGCTCTCCCGGTAGGTTGACCTGGAGTGGTAAAGAATGAAGGCGGTAAAATGTGAGGGAGGGAAATCTGAAAAAGGCTAGGCCCAAAGTGTCACGTCAAGCTGGTCTCTCTCTGGTGTGTGGTCTGTGGTCTGTGATGTTGGTGGTGGAGGTCTGTTTCTGCAAGATGGAAGGTGCCCCCGGCTCGCACCGGGCCCTCCCTTGTCCTGAAACCCGCTCTTTCCCACGCTGAGACGCATGGCCCCCTGCAAGTTTTGTCGCAGCCAGCACCCAAAAGACCCCTCAAATGCCGGCCGACCTCGTTGCACTAACAAATTCTCCGCAATCTTGATGCCGCCACCTGCTAGTCGTTACACATTCCCACCTTCTCCCGATTCGGTTCTTCGAAACCGCAGCATCGATACCAGATTGGCCGGCTCTCTGTCTCATCTCTACGACCATACACACACTTTTTTCTCAACTGGACTCTCTCTCTCACTGAAAGACTCTCTCTCTACGGCGATACAGCACACTCCAGACCCCGTCACGATCTTCACCACGCGCACTGCATACACTGGGGGTGTCCCTGAGACTGGCCCTCCTGATGGCTTCCCAGCTTCCGTTCTGCCTTTTCTGGCCTTCTCTTTCGCCGGCCGCCGGCCCTCCTCCACCGGCTTGGGGATGAAGCTACCCCCGTATTGTCTCGCCTCGCCCCCTGCCCTCAGCGTCTCCGTTCGCCGCCGGACCTTCAACGCCTGGAGGCCTGCTGAGGCAATGATTGTCCCTTACAAGCTTCTGTTCCTCGTCTACGCTCGCTGCGCACTGGTTCCAGTCCATACCAATCACTGCCGACGCTGGCCAGGGTCCCTGTCTCTAGACGCCGGGAGAATGAGATATGGATTATACCGCACGCTACCACTACGGATACGCTTCTGTCTGTACGCAGTACGGCTACCGCAGGAGGTAGGGGAAGGAGGGAGGGGAGGGGTGGACCTTCCTCCATGTCGTCCCTCCTTTCGGGCAAGTCTGTTCTGAGTACTGCAGAGTATCAAGTTGTGAATGCCTCAACTCATCATCATCTGGACTCAGCCTCTAGGTGTTGCAGAGCAGTCGTGTTCGGCCTGCCAAGACAATAACCAGTCTGAGCAGAACACAGGGCCTTGACCCTCGCGGTCGAAGAATCAGGAACGGAAGCATGGAATCACCAACTGGATGACGAATGGCCTCGTCTCTCGCCGTGCCGTCTCGTCTCGTCGAATCCAAATCTCTCAGCCCCTACTCAGGTACCGCATGACAATACCCAACCACGCGAGTGACCGCTGACTTGTTGTCCACGGACCACCCACTAGAGCGCCGCACCCATCGGCTTTCGCGTGCCAGTTCCTGCGCCAGTCCCAGTCAGTGCTGGTGCCCGCCCGGGGTGTCTGGATCCATCCCTGAACCATCTCGGGGGGCCATCTGTCATGCAGCATGGGTCTCCCCGCGAATGGTGGATAGATGATCGACCCAATCTGATACATACTGTCGCCTTTCTCTCGGCTGCTTCTCTTCTTCCCTCCCTTCTCCCTCTTCTCCCTCTCTTGGTCACCAACACCGCCACTTGTTTGGCGTTCACCACTTTTTTCATTCTTCACATACCAAGGCCGGCCTTATTCCTTTCGATTCTTCTAGACCCCTTTGCTGGCACTGTCGTCTACTTCGTCTTGTATCTTTTTACTTTGGATCTGTTTTTATCACTGGCAATCGACTCGACGTCTGCCCACACGAATATTTCCCACTTCGAATCGTCGACTTCACCGACTCGTATTACTATCGATCTTGGATTAGCTGAGGGCCATGGTCGGAACCGATTGACAAAAGGAACATCTTGGCGACTATCTTCGGTCTGGACTGGAAGGATAGGATGTTTGAGGAAGAGGGAATGGCTCCTCACGCAGTTCAACGGGGCGAAAAGCCCAAGAGACGAGCCGCCCGCCCCGCCAACATTCAAATACCGTCATTTTTCAAGGAACGCGGTGCCGACACCGACGATGACTACGCCACGCAAGTCAGGAGGGCAGCAGGTGGCATTTGGGAGAGGGTTGTGAACCCAGGTCACGACTTCGCCGACAGGGTGGAGGCTCGATCCGGTAGCGACAGCGACAGCGATAACCCGCAGAGGAAGCAGAAGCTCAAGAACCCTCCTCAGCAACAACAAGAACAACCTTCGAGCCCTGATACGCCCAAAGCGAAGCCGTCCAAGAACCTTCAGCAGCAGACCCCGCTGCCCGTGGCCACGCTTCGACCTGCGCCAGCAGTACCAGCAGCACCCGCTCGCCCGCAACTATCCATTCCACCCGCCATCGCACTCCCGCAAGTCTCAGCTCCTCCGTTGCGAGTATCAGCACCGCCCAAGATCTCGGCTTTACCAGCTGTATCGGCACCACCCAAGGTAACACCCACTCCCTCGGCTTCCATTCCGCCGGCCGCCGGGACGCCCGTTGCTCAACCAAATGTTCCCGTCCAGCGTCCACCTGAGCCCGAGGAGCCACCACCACCGCCTCCCCCTGTTTTGGCACCGGCAGAGCCCGACCCGCCGCCACCACCGCCTCCCGAGGAAGTTCCTCCCCCTCCGCCTTCACCAGGTCAGCCGCCGCCGCCAGAGACGATGACCGTAACAGCTCCTGCGCGTACCGTCACACTGATCTCGACGATGATGCCTACTGGTAACCCTGTAAGTGGCCTCATGTGCTGTTCAAAAAGTGCGTTGCTAATGACAGGAGCCCTTACCTAAACAGTCGAATTATCCAACGCCTTCATTACCGCCTCCGGCTCCGCCGCCGAGGACAACTGGCCTGCCCCCTTTGCCGTCTGTGGAGCCATCTGCACCGAGGAAGGGACTTGATGGACACACTACGCCTACAGTCACTGCCACTTTGGCATCAGCAGTCATTCCAGCTGAGACCATCTCAGCTCTCCCAGGACAGGCTGGAACGAGCCGTCCCGACAAGGATGACGGCAGGCCACCACGTATGAACCCCGAGACAGAGCACGCACTCATCGCTGTCGGTTCAATTGGTACGTATCTGGTGTCACGGCGAGAGTGGACACAGCTAACGTGATGAAGGTTCGTTCATCTTTGCCTGCTTCCTTGGCTGGATTGTGTGGAGGACGGTCAAGAGAGCCGCCAGGGCCAAGAGAGATCGGGATTCCTCATACCGTGGCGACACCCCGGGATTCGGAGCAAAGATTCCCTTCTTCAAGAACCGATCCGGCGGCGGTGGCTGGGAAAACCTTGACGGAAATCAGAGCATTCACCCGTCGCAATATGAAAAGGGGCCCAGAGGAACCTTGAGACTGAATACCGATGTCTACGGTCCCGACGGAAAGCCAATGAACTATGGTCCGGGCTCGGGATACGGTGCCAGCTACATGTCACCAGCAGACAACCGGGGCAGTCCCTTGACCGTCAGCCCGACGGGCACACTACAGATGAGGGCAAACCCCATGAACGGCCAGAGCAACTACACTAGCCAGGTCGGCACATATAACACACAAACGGGCACGTTCGTCAGCCATGCGCCCAGCCAATCTCTTACTCACATCATCGGACAATACGGTACTCCTACGGATCCCAGCATGACGTTACGTTCAGGTATGGGGGCTGGAGCATACTTCAACCAGTCGGAGTTGGCTCGTCAACCGTCGGATGCGTACGATCCCAACAGGCGGCAAGTCAACAGAGCCAGCGAGCTGTCATCGATTTCGTCCGGCTTCGGTGACGGCGACATTGTAGTCCCTGGAATGGCCTTGCAACCGCCTCCTCCCGTGTCCAACCCGTTCCGCGCCTCCCAAAACGGTGGTCACTTCTCATGGATGAGCAAGAGCAACCGCGATACGGTGTATACCGAGACTAGCGAAGACTTGCCGCCTAGGTTCCGGACGGTCAACAGCTGGGTTAACCAGCAGACAGGCCGTGTGAAGAGAGCGCAGACGCGGCCGGAGACTGATGAAGACGTGCCTCCCGTTCCCGGACTGCCGGCCGGGACGGGCCAAAACGGTCTCCCCCCCGAACCACAATTCACCATGATGATGCCGGATGGCGAGATACCTCGACGACCTGACCCGGCGCCGTCGACCGCGTCGTAGCCAGACGTGACAAGGACCACAGTCACTTTCTCTTTGTTTTCATACCCAAGCACGGCGCTGAGAGGCAGGAAAGTCAAAAGGGGATGCATGGGAGCGGTTGTAATACCATCATATCACAGACATGACCAGCCATCCAAGGGCGGTAGTATAAATCAAGCATCACAGTACCCAAAGAACTCCAGCAACACCTTCTCTTCAAGCCTGGCGCTTGGGAGGTCCTGCAGAGTTTGACACATAGTCCACACGTGTAGCTCCCAGCTGCCATTGTACACATAGCCGATTTGGAGGAGAGGAGCGGTTGGGTGAGGAGACAATAATTTAAAAGTACAACAATGCACATATTCTTTGATGATTGCTGTCGTTCCTGGTCTGTATGTGAATCGGAAAAGCGAGTGAGGAGGTGCGGGTGTTCCCATTGGTGGGTTCGTGATCGTCAGGCACCTGGGCTGCTGATTTGTCGGGCGATCATCTCGACGAACGCGTTCAAGTCTGTTCTTATTTTAGGAACTGCTGCTAAGGTACATATTGTCCGGGATTCTCTCCAACTCTCGTGGGCAGCCAAGAATGGCCCAGCTTGGTGATGATGAGGCCTTTTCGCCATCGTGGCCGGCACTTACATGCCTTGAGGCCCAACCCTAACATTCATCAATCCTTTGGGGGCATTGATGTGTGAGTCTGTAGAGGAGAATCTTGCTGTCTCGACCTCCTTTGATTCCCACACCATGGCATTTGCTCTCCAGCCGCGAGTTTTGAAGTACTTCATAGCCATCGCCATCAAAAACCCCGCGCGACGCTAAGACGGTGTTTGTGCTTGAAGCAGCGGTCAGATCAAGCTTCATTCCTGCCCAGCCCCCGGGATACCGCACGCTAGAATCTGGCCGTGACGTGTTCTCCAGCGCCAAGGCGGATTTTATCCCTATTGATCTTCCCATATTATTATAGCGAAAATACAGAAGAGCGGAATGTCGAAAGACGGCTTACGCAGCAGCCACACACAGCCCGCGCCATCGTCACCTCAATCAGCAGCGCAATGCGGGTTCTGGAAGCAAATCAATTCCAGACTGGATGTCACCTCCCATTGGCCGCGCGTTTCGGGAACGGGTGGTTCCAAAACGTTTGCGGGTCCTCGGGCCTCGTTCTCACAGTGAATGAGCAACAAGTCCAGTCGGGTGTTGTTGATGGGTTCCAGGTTCGAGGTGCTCTGCGCCTTTCTGGCTTTGGTGCACAGCCGCAACGTCGAGTCTACCCGTGCCGGCGAGCGGACGAATCACAGGCCGAATAACTCCGATCATGGGCTTCTGTACCCGACGAATACCGCGTAAGGGATTCACGGCTGTGGCGGAGCCGAAGGGGAATTGTGGGGAACGCCTTTGGGGAGCTGCAGCGAGCGGCAGGGCGGGGGCTCGTTGACGTACGCAATGGAACACAGCATTGTCTGTCGCTGCTGCGCTGAATGAGGATGAGGGGCGGCGCAACATGCTCCAAGTTCATGTCCAAGCAAGGTTGAACCGCCGCCATCCTGCGACCACGCTTTCTATTCTCCACGATTAACAACGTCCGACCAGGCTTCGACATTTCTCGACGACGGAGCCCTGTCTAGTCCACATACAAAATCTACCTCTTCGGCTTTTCTTTTTTTACTACACTTTCTCAGGTCCCTCGTCTGATCAATCTTCCATCAGCTTGTTCCTCCTTCCGCAGTCCCTTCCGGAACGTTGCGCTTCCTTTTCGTCTCGATTCACGTGGCCGGCGCTTAGCTTCTTTCTTGGCCCTTTTTCCTTGGGCGGTGACATTGTCTTTGATTCATCACAGCCAAGACAGACGGGTGACGGACGCTACTGAGACTCAGCCCACTTGACCTTGCGCACCTCTATTGTTCGAGGTCCCATTACGGCAGCCTGATCCGAGGCCTGCCTACTTCTTATCTACCTGCCCAAATCTCACCGGACTCCAAACGACAGGAAAGCTTCTTTCTCGCGAACCTCTAGACTACATCCACGAGCAGCTCGGGAGCCGCCGAGAATAATCCGCCATCATGCTCGACGAAAACCTACCGACATTCCACTTCCGCCCCTCCTCCGAAAACCCCTCCAACACGGTGCTCTACTTCACCCACCAAGGCTCCGACCCGACACCCCAATACGTCCTCAAGCGCGCCGACTCCTCCAACCCAGCAGCCCGCAACAAGTACGCCTCCGCCCTCACAGACATCGCGTCGCAACACATCATCTACGCTGAAGTCCTCGTCGAGCCGGAATGGACACAACCAACCCTCTCCGCCGCCGAGGCCCGCGCCCAGAACGGCTCCCCCGCACCTCCGCAGCCCATCCTCCCAGACCAGGTGACCCTCCAACTCTACAACCCGGACTCGCAGGTCGTCATCAAGACCAAGGCCGGTAGCTGGGGTAAGAGCGACAGTTGGGAGTTCGAGATGCCCGAGCAGAGCTTCCGCGAGCCCAGCGCCAGTATGCTCGACCGCTCGTCCGACGACCCGCCCATTAGCGACACCGTGCCAAAGGTGGTCTTCCGCTGGAAGCGCGACGGGAGACTGAGCAGGGATATGACGTGCTATATGGTCGGCAAGAGCGTGGCCGGCAAGAAGAGCAAGGAACCCGATATCACAGTCGCCATGTTTAAGGACAAGAAGCACGAGAGCGCCGTGACCATCTACGAGCCCAACCTGCAGCGTGTGGACGTTGAAGACCGCAAGGGTCTGGATATTGTGCTGCTGCTTGGTGCCGAGGTCTTGCGCGACCTGTTCCTTAACCCAAGGCAAAACGTATTCAACCTTACTGCCACCCCGCCTGCTGTGTCCGGGCGAAGGAAAAATTCCAAACCCCCTCCGCCCCAGGTCGCCCCCGTGGCCGCCATGTCTGGTGCCATCGGCAACAAGCCCGCATCGCCTCCCGCACAGCAGCCCATGAACGTGAACAACGGCCCGCCGCGTCCCAACGCCCGTCAGCAGTGGGAGATCGACAACGAGACGAAGCGCCTGCAGGCCATGGTGGCCGAAGAGCAGCGCCAGGCCCGCGAGCGCGAGCGCCGGGATGCCGAGGAAGCGAAGCGCATCACGAAGATGCTGGAGAAGGAGGACAAGGAGCGTCGGCGAAAGGAGGCCGAGATCGAGAGGGAGACGGAGCGGCTGAGGAGATTATACGGCGTCCCGCCCAACGCTCCCACGCCGAACCTGCCCCCGCGTCATCAGCCCCCGCCCGGCAGCGGCGCCGGATCGTGGCACGTCGCCCCGGCGCAGCCACCCCGACCGTCCAGCGCGGGACCTTATCAGCATCAGGGCCAGCCGGGGACGAGCGCGTACCGGCCGCCGCCGCAGGTCCAGTTCGCGCCGCAGCAACAGCCGCCATCCCAGCAGCAAGTGCCGCCGCAGCAGCAGCAGCAGGGCGGCCGCGGCAAGCTCCCGAACTTGATGTCTGGGCTGCTCCAGGGCCCGTACGGGAACACGGCTGCCAGCGTCAGCAACTTCTTCCACCGGGACCGGGCCGAGGAGGAGCGGAAGCAAAAGATTGCCAAGAAGAGGAGTGTGCATTTCTGAAGCGTCGGTGTGGTGGGGGGTTTTTAACATTTGGCATTTTTATTTGCATATGTCTGGCGTTTTAATGGGTTCTCATGGCCAGACGGCATATTTCTTGCACCACCGGTTTAGGTGTTGCTCACTGTTTGCTTTTCTTTGGAGGGGATATACCATGGGCCTAGGTAGCTGAGGATATCTAGAGTTACGAATTCATGAATATTTCATCAAACAGATAGAGCTTGCGACTATGTTATTCACCCGTGTTGAAGGCTCATTAGAAGTCAAAATGACTTTGTCGACCTTCGAACTACCCATGCCCTCTATGTCGTTGCAGATACCTCATGCGATGCTACAGCAACCTGATTTTGAGTGATAGAAAGCTGTGGGCAACATCAAGACTACTGGATACTGTGAAGAGGATTGCTACATGACGCGAGCAGCCGAAAATGCGAAGCTGCCAAGCAAGACCCAAATATTCTGTCGCACCAGATCATCTTCCACATCATCCGAGTTCCGTTTTTTGGCTGACAAAACCCGTGCTAGCATTAACATGTTCTTCTTCCAGCTGGACTTGGTGGTAGAGCACCAGAACAAACGACGTCTACGAAAGTCGACGGCTGGATTAATTGCTGATTTGAGCCACACATAACAGCAGCACTGCGGCTTCTCCGAGATCTTGTTGATCATTCGGTGCTCGAAGAAGGAAAGTTATCCAGCACCCGAGATGTCTCTGGGCAGACCCCTTCAGACTCCCGGTCGGTTTCTTCAAGCGGAGGAACCAGGATCTCGTGAACATCACTGTCGGTTTTGGCGACTCTTAGATGGTGCCTGTTCTCGGGTTTTAAATGAACCTTAGGGTTTGCGTCGTCCATTACTATGTCGTAATTCTGCTAGGTGTACTGATTGTACAACCAAGAGATTGAGAGGTTATTGGAACGACGACCAGGACTCTCTCCGGCGTACAGTACCGAAGGGTCTCAGTAAGTGGAGGGCGTGAGGGGAGGTTGAAGACTTTCGAATTGAACAAGTTTGGGGATACACTGGCGTGGGATATGGATTTTTGTTTGTGACCATCTCTATCATTCCTCGGTGAAATTGCTCATTCGGACTATTGAAGACTTATCTGAAGTTTATATCAATATCAAGTTTAAGCAGTCATCTATAGTTATCTAAAAGAGTAGGATTTTAACTAACTTAGCATATAAAATAGTGCTTAATTATATCTCTATTATTATACTACTAGGCTATCCTCTATTCATAATTACTTCTTTCTACATGTTTACCTTACTAAAGTTAACCTTTGAAAGGGTGGTGGGTGGAAATGTGGGTGGCGGGCGTTGCCTTCTCCAGATGTGACGCTACTGCCTACTGCACCACCCCGTGCCCTTTGGTCACTTAATTGCAGCTGCATTGCCCAACGTTCCAATGCTGCGCGAGCAGTGCGCAAGTAGGGGTAAACAGAGCGAGACACGCAGACTGACAGAAGATTCGTCGTCCAAGGGCAGCTTTTCACAGATGGTTGAGGGACTTACATACCCTTGAAGGGAGTAGTAGTAACAGAATCTGCCAGAGAGAAGTCGAGAATCCCTCAGAGCAATCGGAGGCTTCAAGGAGGTTTTTAACTCGCCAGCCTAAGAGGCACCAATAAGCCTACGTACGCGTTAACCGATATCTAGTCTGACATGCATACAGAGCCGCCAATCGATGAACAATTTCTTGGTTTGTAGGTACTCAGCTCATACCAGGATCATGATCCTGCCTGGTTAGCTATGTTGCTTCGCCAAGGCAGTATTTGATTTGAAATGCATCAGGCTCGCAGTAAGGTTGTACCTCTCACTATATGAAGAAGCTATCGCCACGCTTGTCACTGCATTCCTTCCTCAATTACAAACACCATCAGCTCATTGCTTTGACTCAGGACTCACCTTCTTCGTAAGATACAGGCGGCTACTTTGGAGGATGACTCCTTCCTACCGTCTTGTTCCCCACCGCCAAGCGGTCGGGGAGAGCGAACAAGAGGCTATTGAAATGAGCGACAAGCGCATTTCCTCATCTTCAAGGCCAATGATGGACAGAGGACGGTGGACTACCGTATCGGCAGCTTCATCCGCCGAAGATGAGGCTCGGTCACGCGAACCTGGTGTACGAGAGGATTCCAGTCGCGCATCCCTCATATCCATCACGTCATTGCCGTCTAATACTAGTGAGGCCGGCCAAGAAAGAACAGAGAATTTCGAAGACGTGTCATATCCAGAGGCCAACTCAGCTACCACCCAGGAAAACTCTCAACGTACAAGTTTCTCGATGTTTGGCAAGCTGTCCCTTTGGACATCTGCAACGCTGTTGCTGTCGCTGCTGTCCATCATTGGCACAATGGCGTATTTGGGGTTTTTGTGGTCGTTCCCGAATGGAACTCAACACAGTCGCGCATGGCTGAACATCGTGTTGAGCGAACGAGCGCTGATCTCGATAACGATCTCGGCTGTGATTTTACGAACGGCTGTATCTGTTCAGGCGATGTGAGACGCTCCCCAGCTTGGCTTCGTACAACATGTAGAAAAGTCTGACCCATTCAGTGGTGCGACCTCGATGCTGGCCAGTATCATACTTGAACGACGTGGCGTCACAATGTACAGCTTCGCTGCTGTCTCACCCCTTCGCACTGTGAACAACGGCCCTCTGAGCCTTTTGCTTCCCTCGAGCAGTATGCTCAGTGCGGTAGGCTTCTGGGGTGGAGTGGTCTCACTCTTGTATTGCACTACGCTAATCCTTCAATTCACGTCAACTATCTTGTTGGCCGATATCAAGACAGGCACCTTAACGGGAGGTGAAATGATGAACGCCACACTGACAGGCATGTCCTTCCAGAATATCAATCAGACTGCAGCACGAATGGAAAAGCCAAGAATGTACTGGGCGGAGCCCATTAACAGTTTTCCAGCCTTCGCGCAAAATCATGAGGATTACAATGTTGGAGACTACACCAGAACAGGAGATGTGACGGACGCTGTGGTAGACACAGGTCTGACTCATAGGGCTTTTCTCCCATTTGCGAGCGAAGATCAACGAGGCTCAATCTCAACCTTCTCTGGAACAGCCACGGTCGTGGACTCCAGAGTAGTGTGCGTTCGACCGAGGATGCATGCGGGCCACAGCATCGCCCTTGTGGCTAGGGCTCTGGGTGGCTCTGGCGGGGGACTCCTCGACCGTTGGTTTCTCAGCGGAGCTATCAGCGTGGACCCGGACGTCACACCGGCTGGTCTCATTCTAGCACACGAGCCAGTGACCCTGGCTCCCAGTCTGACGGAGTTAGATGAATTGCCCAGGGTCTCTTTCTTTTACAACGAATCAGTTCGAAATGGGTCATTTTATGTCGACCTCGAAGACCCGACAACAAACATCATGTTCGGCCAAAGCGCTACGGAATGGAACGTGGTGCAGTCAGACATTGCTGAAGGCCCACGACTGCTGTCTTCACTGGACCCGCGTTATCCGCAAATCGTTGGGTCTACGACTGCCGATATATTCAACGTGTCCAGCAACCAAACTGGCGGCGAGACGACCAGATACGAACCAGCCTATTATCTGAAAGGCGACAAAATCCCACTGATGACTGGCCGCGCTTATCAACTAATGAACATTACGCCTGCCGCGTCGTACCCTACGTTTGCCAACCAGACAGACGATAGCTTCGACTTGGACGGTCACGGTATTCTCTTCCATGTAGATCCCAAATTGCCGGAACTGCGCGGAAGGGCTGAACAGCTCGTTGTTAAGCAAGAAAACGAGTGGCTCGTGTTTACTGTACCAAAATTACCAGGATGGCGCATCGCCACTACGCTATGTTTTGATTCTTTTGTTTCGTTCGACGCAAATGTCTCGCTGAGAACCGAGAAGGTCATTAAGGAACCGATTTGAACGACTTGGAATGCCACAGCTAGACGGTTTGGGATTACACCTGTTCGGCAACAGCTGGACGAAGATGGGCCAATAGATGGAGCGACGGGTGCAACAGACAGCCATCCGACAGTCCTAGAAACAACACCGGAACAGCTCAGGGGTCAAATATCACTCGCATATGAAAGGTCGAAGACTCAAGACCTCGACTACATCCTATCCCCAGCTCAGGGATTCATTCAAAATGCACTGGGCGACTATCAAGCTTCTGGCAACATATTTTGCACTGAGTGCAAACTCAACATACTTACGGGCCCAGGTAGCGCAAATTTCTTACCAGGCAACAACCAAGTCGATGTCGACTACATGTTGTTTTTCCAAAACAATAGTCAACTCCATAATCACATCTTCCAAGATATTATCCAAAGCACGCATAGCCCAGTGAGAGCCCTCCAAGCATACTACACAACCCTGGCCCGCCAGGCATATTACGACAGGCTACCGTATTTCGACATCACAGATACACCTACTATTTCGTTGTTCACCAGCGTGCCTTTCCCGAGATCACCAAGGGGCCTGATCGTGGTTGGCGTGGTGCTTTTTATTCACGTCACGTTGGTTGTCTTTGTCACGGTATGTTTTCTTACGAAGACTACAGTATCGCGGTTGGGGGACAACGCGTGGCAAACCTTGGCTCAGACTAGGTCTGATGATATGGATGAAGCTTGTGCGGCTGCATCCATGTCGAAGGACGAGGACGTTGAAGAATGGCTGGCGTCTAGGGGTAGGGGAAAGGATTTGTTTCATCTCGGATGGATCGGAGAGCCACCAAACGAGACCGTCGGACTGAAAAGAGATTGAAGTTGCGTGGTCACGTCAGCTTCCAAATAGCACTTTTTGAAAAACAAAATTATATAGCGTATGTGAAGGGGAAAAGAGTAACAGCCATAGGTCTCTTACCTGCCCCAGACCGCCTCGTAAGTGAGGCGAATAACACACGGACTGAACCAGATCGCTAGATTGTTGTTACAACCGCTACAGTTGGTCCCTATAAGCGCTTAGCTATATAGTGCAGAGCAGCGGATAATTATACCAGAGGTATGTTTTTTATGTGGTGTTTTGACCCTAGTTTTTGGGCTTCATGGTTGATGGTCGCTCTGGTAGGTGTCCCGGCGGCCCGAAGCGTCATCGCCTGCAGTTCACAAAGCTCATACGATATAGACCGTCAGCTTGTTCTCTCTATCATCTCCAGGTGAAAATCTTTTTCCGTTCTATGTGGTTGTTATATCGTTGACGTTGTGTCCTGATGTGTGATCGTGGTGTTCGGCGACCCACGATGTCTTCAAGGCAATCTACTCTCTTATCCATTGCACTCCTAGTGAAGTGTTGAATGAGTAAGAAACAGATGAATCCTATTTCTCCCCTTTTATACCTCGACATGTACAGTTCCACGGAGCTGTGATTGATATTTCTCGGCTGGTGGTCGACTAAGGTACTAAGTACCGTCGGAGTCCGATTACAAACCACAGCCAGAGAGTTCTCTCAAAACTCCTCGTTTGTGTCAAAGATACTGTGTGAAATTGGCCAAATCTATAAGATTGCTTGCCATTCTACTCCTCTCAATCTCATCGTCCTTGACAATGTCAATTTCTAGATTAGGTACACGATAGACGTCATATCGGTCGAATAATCTTCCGTGGGTGTTGTGCACGGACCATATCGATTACGCTAGCTGCCAAAATTTCTCATGATGGGTCTCATACGCTATCTCCAGCAAAGCTCTTGATGAACCTCCCCAGGCCAACTCCAAGCTAAACTCCATCCCGACGCCCACCTCCGCGACAACCAAGGTCATTACCTCTTCGCCAACAAATTCGACTGTGAAATTTGCTGCTAGCTATCTACTTCATTGTAAGATAGCCTTTGCGCCAAGGTCACCAGCAACAGGACGAATCTAGCACACGACTCCAAAAAAGCTTGAGTCTTCGTACACCACCCCCGGGTTACCTTCCGCGACCGCATCCTCGAGATCCTCGCGACCGAAAACTGCGCATTCGATTCTTCCAAAAACAACGCTCCACAAAAGCCGACAAAATGGTTCAACTCACCGAGGTCGAGGATGAGCACTTCCAGGGCAACCAGGCTGGTCCCATCGAGGATGAGGGCGACTTCACCGACACCGGTACGTTTTCTCGTTCTTTCCAGCGATACGCAATCCTCAGATCACGATTCCAATCCTCAAACCCTTGATTATCAAAACCCATGGCCGCACTACGTCACACCTGCTAACTCCCACCCCCAAGACTCCGAAATCTCCGAGGACAGCGACTTCGACCCCACCGACGAGACCTTCACCGAGCGCCTGTACGCCCTCAAGGACATGATCCCGCCGACCACACGCGGCTGGGTTCAGAGCAAGGTCAACTTCGGCGTCAGCGCCGTCCAGAACACGTGGTACTACGGCTCCCGCACCGTCTGGGTCGTCTGCGCCACCGCCCTCATGATCGGCGTGCCCCTGGCCACCTGCTGGGCCGAGGACCAGCAGATCGAGGGCATGGAGCGCGAGTTCCGCATGCGCGAGGCCGGTGGCGAGCTCCTGACGGCCGGAGAGCCCGGCAAGGAGGGCGAGAACACCGCCGACATCCTCAGCGCCCACCTCGACAAGGCCGAGGCCAAGCCTGCTCTGTAAACGAAACAAGAAAAAAACAACAAATCCAACGGAACGGAAAGAACGATGTCCCCGAGTAATTAGGGACAACATCACGAAGACTGCGCTATGACCGGGAATGTGTACGACCACCAAGCGGGGGGGAAGAGGGGGTTTTCACGAAGACCGGAATTCCTCCCTTGATTTGGAGAGGATACTTGCGGTTTTAATCTGGCGCCTTCGAAAAACAACTCAACTGTACATCAGACCAAAAACTCTCTCACAACTCTCAACACCTAACGGAACATTGCATGCATTGCGGCCATGGATGGGGGTGGGGGGCCGGCAGGAAGGGGGAATTCCCTGCCCTTGTGCTTGTACTATAGGACGTTCATGAAGGCCGCGTTTAGGGAAAAAGGCCCGTTTGCAATCATGACCAATTCTAATACCCACCTTGTACCGTCTTCTTACAGTGACGCTGCCTTCACTTCGGATTGCTTTTAGGCCGGGATGGTGGCTTGTCGCTACATTGGTTGACATTGGCAGTATCCGAGACGATGCTTGCCTGCTTCTGCATATAGATGTTGACAGGCAGGGGAAGCGAGCTGAAAGTGTCCCATCTGGAAGGAAAGGATTGGTGAAACGAATTGGTATTGGGTGTTGGGGCTCATGCAGCTGCCAATGAACAGTCCATCAACGATATTCTTCTTCATGCTTGTCTACGAATGTTCAAACAGGGCCAAACGACATAGCCGGTATCGAGAAGTCTGTTCATTGTTCTCCATCTTGGTTCTTGCGCAATACTTGGACTACTTCCAACAGAATCTCCAATTCTCAACGTTTAAAGACGGCTGCTCTACAAGAGTTTAGATGTAGGACCAGCTAGTCCTATCATTTTGCGAGACACCTCCCAGCTTATTTCCAAAGCCCCTGGCTTGTTAGAAGGCCCCGTTGCCCGCTCCTTCAGCTCAATCAGCTTATCACAAGTTAGCGTCAAAGGGGTCGTGATGCGCAAGTACAAAACCCAGAACCAGAACCGAGGGCAGCGAAACCAAACACACCAGACATAGTCAGGCACAATTGAAGGGCTGGATTTGAAGAGATTCGCTCTGAACTTTGCCTAGGGTATCCGTGAGGCATTCAGGTAGCCAACTCGCTTGTGGATGAGATGACTTTTCTTCTCCCCTTTGCGCTCATGTCCACCATCTCCCTCCGCTGATTATGTATTAACAGTAGCATCATTAATACTGTTGGGACAACACCATTGGTATCAGGACGGTGATATAGTCGATTGGCACGTCCTGGGGGAACCTAGATGACCCGGGCAAGCTGATGTGTAGGGGTCATATTGAACAACAGAACATTGAGGCTACACTCGCTGCCATGAGCAGCTACACGTACTTTCTGCGGTGAGAACGGAGTAAATATACTCTGTGCAGTTCGCTCAGAGCTCTTTAGCTTGTGTGTTGATATAAATGCACTCCATCCACTATTGAAAGCAAGGGCCCTGTGGGAAACATCCTTGACTTCAAGAACGGGTTAGCTGAATGACTGTTTGGTTCACCATGCTCACCTTTGGCACCTTTCCCCCCGGAAAGGACGAAGGACAGAAAACGAGCATCGTGGTGCATGTAACCAAACATGAATAATCAAGCGACAGCTCTGGCCTCTGACACCAGTTAGGGTCGAAGCTGCAACGTACTTCCAATCAATCATTCCTTCTTGAGTTCCATTATATAACCACCGAGATCCTTCATCCAGTATTACTTTGGCGGGCAAATTCGTTATTGCGGGGATTCCTTTGTAACCGTTTTCGCCGCCCTCTCTATGATGTTATGAGTAGGTTGCCCATCAACATGAAGAAGCGGCATTGATTTTCCCACCGAAGACACACCCCAATCAACAGCGAATACCATGACGACGACAATGATGACGGATGTCTAGAAATTCAAACGAACTGTCCCAGCAGGATAAATCGATATACGTAAAAACTGCGAGGCATTGGTCGTTTGGCATTTATCGAGTGCCTGCGGAACCAACTAGCTGGTTTGACGTCGACTGGTTCGATCCTGGGTACGAAAGTACCGTCCCACGGAGCCTTTTATACCATACCTCCAAGCACTAACATTCTGCCAAACAGAACCAACAGTTCCACAACATGCGAAAATCCGGGACCTCGACGTCGTGCTGTTGTTGCATGACAGAGAAGGGAAAAAAGCATGGACACGGCGGGTACCTCCCGACAAAAGCGTCTCCATATCCCGAAACCAGAGCTCCGGAATCGGCCCCATCGGCCCGCGCCGAAATGTCCGCAATCGTACACGCTCGCGTTTCCTCCGGTCCGACAGAAAAAGGCCTCAAAAAGATAAGTTACAGCCACGAAAGCTTCAGCACTGTACTTCTGTCGTAACACCATTATTTTTTACTAATAAGAAATAGACGGATGGGTGTCTTATCAGAGCGTCAAATATCGAGAGTTTTCTGGTCTTTTTCTATTTTCTCTTTGTTCGGTTTTCGTCCTGAGTCATACAGTGGAAGACCTCACTGAACGGACGCAGACACGCTTAGAACACACAAACATCCAATATGGCGAAGTCAAAAGCAGCGGCGGACATGGACTTCAAAGCCCTGCCCAAGATCGAGGTATACCACCAGAAACACCCACATCCCCCGGGCCCCAGGCTGATGAAAGTCCACAGCTCCATGCCCACTTGACAGGCAGCGTAAGCCGCCGCACCCTCCACGACATCTGGGCCCAGAAGAAGGCGGCGGGCGAGACGGACCTGGAAGACCCCATCGTCGTCATGCCGGAGGACAAGCACGACTACAACCTGACAACGTAAACCCCCCTCTCTCTCCCTGTGCCCGTGTTGATTCCGCCCTACCATCCATCTAACAAAAATAACCCCAAGCTTCTTCCCCCTCTTCTCTTCCTACATCTACAACCTCATCACGACCCCGGAAACCCTTCACGCGGCGACAGTCTCCGTCCTGCAGGACTTCCACGCGGACGGCGTGACCTACCTCGAGCTGCGGACCACCCCGCGCTCTCTCCCGTCCCCGACGCCGCAGCCGCCGTCGGTCTACGTCTCGACGATCCTCTCCGCCATAGCCGCCTTCGAGGCGGCGCACCCCGGCCCAGGCACCATGCGCACGCGTCTCATTCTCTCCGTCGACCGCCGGCACACCCCGGCCCAGGCCCACGAGACGGTCCGCCTGGCGGCCGAGTTCCGCGGGAAGGGCGTCGTGGGGGTGGACCTCTGCGGCGACCCCTCGGCGCGGTGCCACGGCGGCGAAGGGGAGACCATCTCCATCTTCCGGGAGGCGTTCGCGGAGGCGAGGGAGCTCGGGCTGGGGATCACGATTCACTTCGGCGAGGCGGAGTGTTCGGGGCACCCCGGGGAGCTCGCGGAGATCTTGTCGTGGGGGCCGGGGAGGCTGGGGCACGTCATTCACCTCGGGGAGGAGGTGAAGCGGGAGATCACGGCGAGGGGGATCGGGCTGGAGCTGTGTCTTAGCTGCAATGTCCACGCGGGCATGGTCACGGGAGGGTTCGAAGGGCATCACTTTGGGGAGTGGTGGGGCGTCGAGGGGAGTTTGATTTCGTTGGGTGTAGGTTGACTGTGTTTTCTTTTCGTCTTGCTGGCTCCATGTTGGTGAAGGCTGCTGACGTGCTTATGACAGACGGACGACGTGGGCGTCTTTGGGAGCCCGTTGTCCAATGAGTACAGGTTGGTCGCCGAGCACTTCGACCTCTCCCGGGATGACATCTGCGCGCTTGCTCGCCGGGGTATTGACTCCATATTTGGCGGCGAGGCCGAGAAAGAACGTCTCCGGCAGGTGATGTGGTGACCATCGACAACAGAAGAGACGTGATGGTCGACCAATTGAACATGGAGATAAGAACACAACAACAGCCGGACACCATCATCAGCTCGGCACTGTTCCGCCAACGGAGCACCTCGCGAGCCCCTCGGGTTTCTCAGACCTGTCGTCTGTAGTAGCGTGCCTGCCTATGAGATGATCGGATGCCAGATTGTTCGCGGATGTGCAGCGGCCCCGTCTAACCACCCGAACGCCGACGCCGACGGTGACGGCGCGACTGGTGTGCTGCTCGGCAGCCCACGGCGGCCTCCCTCTTGATGGGGGTTGGTCTCGCCGTGCTCGCCGAAGAATGTCTCATCGATTTCGTACACATGCCGCTTTCGCGTTCGGCAGCCGAACCGATAGGCAGGATCCGAGATGGCTTTTGGTAGAGAGTTCGTGCCATAAAATACAGTGTGTAAGACGAGTTTCCCCGGAATTTCGGCACCCAATCGAGCTACTTGGAGCTATTCCTTTTGCAGTCGAGATCGACAAGATCGATAGAACATATCTGTGCCGGGAAATACACTACAGGTTGAATCTGTTTATGTGGTCGTGATGTGCGCCGTGCAGGCGAAATATCCGCCATCTAATGTATTTTGACTGCCCGGGCAGGTAATCTGCAAAGCCGAGCGTCCTGGCGTGCCGTCGGAGACTGTTTTGAGCCTGCGTACGGCCGTACGGAAAATCCAGCCATGAGGATAGTTAGAGTCAAGGCCGTCTACTTCTAGTCCGACTTCCCCTCCGCCTTGACCCTGGGGCATGAGTGCCAAAGCCAAACAAAACGCCAGATTTGGCAAGGATACTATTAATAACGCAATAAACTCTGTATTTCCGATACTCGATCTCCTGAAGTTGATAGGTTTTTCGACGAAAAACAAAATTCTGAATGAAGTCGGGTGTCTCCGTGGACAGGAACGGAGAAACCCTCACGGATACAGCGACGAAGTAGGGCTTATCCGGACACAAGATGGGAGTGGCAACTCTCACGGGGCTGGGCCTGTAAGCGTACACTGTTGAAGTCAAACGGCGGATGGTTCCTGCTAAGTCGAATCAAGCGTTTGCCAACGGTAAGGACGTGCTTAGGTGACAGGAGGATCCTCGCCAGCAGGTAGCAGATGTGCCCGGAATCTCGACTGATCTCCTGGTAGGGCTAAGAAACGGGCGTGTGTCTCGCCTGCTGCAGCCTTGAGGCTTCGTGATGTTCCCCGCCAGGGGCGTTTATGGGATCAATCCTGCCTCGGTAGTGTGAAGAGGGGTCAGCGAGACATCATCGAGCATTTGCAAGAATGCCATGGCTGGGAGGTGTTCTGCGCGATCCGCGGACGTCGAGCATGGGAAGACTGGTCGGGATAGATATCAAAAGGTCCCTACTGTGTCTTAAGACGACACACAGACTCGAACCTGGTCTGTGATGGTCAGTGTGTCTTCCGAGAGGTTGTCGAAGCCTGGGTATTCCTGTATCAAAATGTGAAACGACAAACATGAGGCGAGCAGGAGCGCAGAGCATCTTGAGGAGAAAGAGGGGATGGAGTAAAGGGAGACAAAGTAGATAGGAAGCCAATGACGATGCAGAGACGTCGTTTAATGCGAGTGCCGGAATGTTGCATGGACCAAGGGACTGGCGGATTCTATCCGTAATCCCGAGAAAACCACCATCCCTGGATATGGTTCATTTCCTGCCAAGCGGATGGAGGATATACGTTGGCATCGACGGAAGATCGGAATTATTTTCCGGGATAAACATTGCAGCCTTTAGCTTGGTGAACTTTCTGCCGGGGCCTTTGCAACTATACTGCGTAACTGGTCGAGTATGCAATGATGAAAAGGTCTGTAATCGTCTAAGTTTGTGCCCGGATGCGAGAGTGCGGAGTTTATGCTGGATCGAAGTCGGAGCCCAGGCTTTAGGCATGTCGACGTTGCTGAAAGATGACGTTGCTCTCAGAAGGGCTGCAATTATGTCGAGAGTAGTGATGAATACCTCAAGCCCCGCATGTCGTTGTCCTGTTCTTTGCAAGGCAGACTACAACCCAGACACCACGCCAACCAGCGCCATTGTGCATGCCTGGCCAATCCATTTTCGACCTGGCTGTTGGCTCCGCGACTTCCCACACAGTGCGCTTGGGATCAGTTGCGGCTTGTGGTTTTGACGTCGCCGTCGCGGCAGAAATATGTTGATGTATTAGCGTGTAACCCGCGCCAAGCTCGATTGGGGTTTACGAGGTCTCGTCCCAACGAGCGGCTGGTTCGACTGGCTGGCTGATATGGCTGACCGGAGTCCCATCGTCTGATCTCGCCGACCGCATTGTCAGCATCGGGATGGTTATCTCGTCGTCGTTGTCGTTGAACGTTGAACGTTGAGCTCATGGATACGAGCAAGAAACAGGGGCTAGGCTGGTCCTGTAACACAAAAATATCTCGACATCCCACAAGCTTACCCGCAAGCTAGATAGCACAGTCGTGCATCCATTGTCCAAAGTTAAGGCGGCAGACGGGAAGCCACTGCAGCGGCTAAGCTGGTTCCCATGTTGAACCTGGCACAGAGCCATATCGACCTGTGAAGCGGCCAGGAATAGCCAGTGCATCTGAGGATGAGGAGGTGGCATCCATGTCGCATATTGCATCGAGACATACATTTGTCTGAAATTTTGGTGTGAAGCAAGATCTCCTTTGTGTCATTCCCTCATTTCTTCAGACGGTGCCGTCCATATGTTGCCTTCCAGATATCCGTCTCGCTGCCGATGGGTGCCGAGGTCACAAAGTCATAGAGATGCCGAAGATGAGTCGGCGGACAGGATTGCTAAAGAATCGTTGCCCGCGGCACCGTACCGCGCTGCTGAGGTTTCTGTGGTTGTTGCTGTCGCCTCTCGCCGACGCTAAAAGTCAGCCTAATCGCCATGCTTGGTGAATAGTTGGTCGTTCAAGTGGCAATATTGGTGAGGCTTTTGTGAAGCGGCTGGCGTCGAGAGAGAGTCGCACTTGGGCGGCCAGCTCTTGAACAAAGATGCCATCATCGGCATGGATGGAGGGCCAGACTAGCCTAGCACAGCCCGGCGCATGCAGGTCTGACTTCTGGACCCCGACAAGAAGCAATGATGGAAGCTTGGGGCTTGTGACGGCACCAGCTGGGAAGGGAGCTAGAGAGCTTGGGCCGCCCGCCACCCCAAAGTCTGCGTGGACAGCGACAAGAAAAAGCAAGCTGACCTGACAGAGACACTCTCAAGTCTGGGACAAAGCTTTCGGCGTTGTTGTAGGTAGGCGTCGGACATGATGACCTTTTGTGGTTGTGGTGCCTGATGGAGTACATAGTAGGTGGGTGGTGCGGTTGACAGCACAATATGCTTGGACGTTCGGTGGTTTCTCCGCAGCGAGAGGGATAGGGCAGAGCCTTCAGATGAAATCGGGCAAATGGGATGATGGCGAAGCTGGATATGGCGGAAAGGCAAACGGGATGGAGGGTTGGATGGTTGGATGGTTGAGGACGAGTGTGGTCGTTCTTTGATGCGTATCGAGATGGGCAGTTCGCCCAATGACCTGTCGCTCGATGCCGGACCCCGGCTGACATTGGGCTAGCGGGGGCGCCTGTCCTGTCTCGTCCTGGTCCCCTTCCTGACCTTGCAGCGGCAGCGCAGGTTGTGGTTGTCACCACTGTCGAGACTTTTGGGTGTGTTTGGTTTGTTTGCCATGTCGTGGAGTGGATGGACTAATAGTAAGTTGAATTTGGATTTTGCACTTGGGCCATGAGCTCGTCGTCGCCATCGCCATCTTCCTTGTCGTGCAGGGGGAAGAAATCGCCCAGGTCACCATTCCTGGCCAAGGTTTCTCGGTTGGTCCGCCGAAAAGTTTGGGCAACCAGACGGACGTTGGCGACACCACCAACAAAGGAGGCCATCGATTGTCGTTTCTTTGGCCACACACCCAGTGGGAGTCGAAATGTCCAAAGCTTTATTTTTTCAGCTCTTGGCGGTATTGGCGTCGAGGTTGCGAGGATGCTTGATGTCAGGGCCCAGGTATGTCGTATGGACGCCGTCAAGTCTCGAATTTGACAATTGAGCTCATGCCGGAAGTCTGATCAACGACAATGAGGCAAAAGCGGTCTGGGAAGACGAGACGGAGACGGCACGGGACTGGGATGCGGGTAATCCATCCAGAGGAAGTCCCGTTCAGCACAGACCACGGCGCCAAAGTGGAGAGGCGACTCCATCAGGTACCTTGTATCCACCTCCAGTGCAGGCAGCACACTCCCGTCACAGGGCACAATTTAATGTCGGTACCCGAGCGACCTTTGAATTGGGAATCGCGACTGCATTCAATCTGCTTTATGCACATGCATCTCAGGAAAGAGTGGGGGGAGACCGCAATAAGAGCCCACATACTTAGGTAGGTACTGCAGATGATAGAGACCGCCGACTGGTCAGCCACCTTCCCATTGTACCAGTACCTCGACCCAAGCAGTCACATCCCTCCTTTTCTCAGACTTTGAATGGACTTCTTTCTGCCCAGGTTCTCCTTCTCCTGCCTTGGGTCCTTGTCTCTTCCTCCTTCTCGCTGCTCGCCAGACGACATTCAAATCCAAGCCAGGTCGACATCACAGACGTCAAGTTTCTCATGTTGGTTCGTCATTTAGGAGGTTTATCTCCAAAGGTGCGGTCTGTGCGGTGACGGCATCCACACTGGAAAGGGAAGTTGCATCCACGTCTTGTCGAAGCCAAAAGGTAAAAGAAAAGAGCCTAGGTATTTCTCATTTCTTATTCGGCATTTCCTGGAATGCCGTTGGCCGTTGGCAACCGTAATCCATGAGTGTTCACGACGGTCGTCAATCAGGATCTGAGGCTTGAAGACACCGCTTGCAATATAAGAAGGTAAATTAAGGTAAGAAGCTAGATATGCGTGTATCTCATTGCCAGAGTACATATTTCCATAGGTTCTCATGCCAAGCTGGAGAGGAGATGGAGGACCGTGAGCTGCCGGTGCGGCGGCTCTCCCTA